ACAATTAATGGTTTGAGCACATTCTAACCTTTTTTACAATTGCATAACTTTTGTTTTATAGTAACCCTTACTCTTACATATTAGTAAGAGTAATTATTTGATTGGTTGGCGATTGTTTGACAATTCTATTGGTAAATTTTACCAATAGATTTTTTTGTGTAAGTTAATATTAACCAATAACATCAATAAGTTTATTATTACTATTATATAAGAACAAAAATGTTAGTCAAGGATGTACTTAAAATTAATTATTACTATTTATTTGTTTATAGCAGCGGTCGGCACACACATACGTTGACATTTTGTTTTATATTTGTGGGAGTAATTTGCACTGGGCAGCTCATCGATGTGTGTGTGCAGACCGCTGTTCTACGTTATACATGTGCGAGCAGCGCGGCGGCAGAACAAAACCCTATGCTCACTTAATAGGGCGCTGCCGACCGCTGGTTTATAGACAAAGAATTCGAATTGGAACTTTGTCTTACATCAATTAAAATTCAACCCAAAATTCGAATTGTGTGCAACCCCCGTTAATTTTTTGCCTTTCAAGCTTCTAACTTATAATTTGCTTAAATTATGTTCCTTCCAATTGTGATATTGCAAAACCAGGGAACGAAAATAACTGTTATTGTAAATTTTTCATACAAAAAAATCACGCACTTAGAAGGGTCCTAAAAATTTTTTAAATACACCACAATTTTTATTAGCCATTGTAGTTTACAAATCCGTAATGATTTTTATTTTTTGATTTTTATAATAAAACTCAAAAAATAACTGTTATTTTTTGATTTTTATGAATATCAGTTATTCCCTTGAAATTTTTGAAAAAATGAAATAATTAAAAAAAACATGATCCCCGTGCTTTTTATAACTTACTAAAAATTTGTTAAGAAAGGCAACCGCGCATATTTTATGCCTATATTTTTTTAAAATTTTGTTTACCCACAAAATCGCCATAAATCAAGTTTGAGTTTTATTTTTGATCATGACGAATAACTGTTATTTGTCAACTTTTATTATAAAACTCAAAAAATAACAGTTATTCTTTGAGTTTTACTTTACAAATCAGAAAATAACTGTTAAAGTGTGATTTTTAAAATAAAACTTATAACAGTTACGTTCCCTGTGCAAAACATTAATGTATGTATGCCTAGAATGGATAAGCTTACTACATAAATAAATTCATAAACTTTAAAAATAACTGCACTTAACAACAACGTTCTCTTTGCAGGGCCAGTCTCCGCATTCCTCGCAATCAGGAAGAACTGAAACAATGAGGTCGGGAGGTCAGGGTTCATCGAGTGAGGTACCGCTGAGCCACTTGCAGCAGTCGGGAGACACGAAGTCGAGCGAGGTGGAAGTTCAGAGCTCTGAGGGTCAGTAGTTGTTTTGCCTTATTTCCTTAGTTCCTTTTTATTAGACCTCTAATTTTATCGAAAATAGGTGATCCTCGTGGGTCGGTGCGTGGTCGTCGTCTGATTACGGATGTCGTACACTCCCGTCCTCAGGGACTGACAACCAAGAATGGAACATCTGGAACCAAAATAACTGTCCAGACCAACTATTTCAAACTTCTGAAACGCCCAAACTGGACCATCTACCAGTACCGCGTTGACTTTGTCCCTGATGTGGACAACACGCGTTTACGTCGGGCTTTTATGAACCACCATCGAAGCGTTTTGGGTGGCTACATATTTGACGGAACCATTTTGTTTTGCACCAGTCAGTTTAAGCCGGTGCAAAATAGCCCCTATGTTCTGGAACTCGTCACGAAGAGTCGTGAGGGGGAAAACTATGAGATCAAAATCAAGTCTGTTGGGTCCGTGGAGGCAGCTGATAACCAGCAGTTCCAGGTCCTGAACCTGATCCTGCGCAGGGCAATGGAGGGCTTGAACTTGCAGTTGGTGTCTCGCAACTTTTTCGATCCTCAAGCAAAGGTTTGCTAGTTTAAATAATGGTTTATAAATTGTTAATTATCCTTATTATTACCAATAGATTAATTTGGAGAGCTACCGCATGGAGCTCTGGCCTGGATACCAGACATCGATTCGCCAACACGAAAGTGATATTTTACTTTGTGCAGAAATCGCACATAAAGTTATGAGAACTGATACCTTGTACAACATTTTATCCGAGGCTATTCGAGACAACGACGATTATCAAACCGCATTCAAACGAGATGTAATGGGTGAGTTGGTTACTTATTTTGTAACCTTTTCATTGTTTAATCTCCAAAAAATATGTGTTTGCATTATTCTAAACAGGTATGATTGTGCTAACTGATTACAATAATAAAACTTATCGCGTCGATGATGTTGATTTTGCTTCGTCGCCATTATCTAAGTTTAATACCAAAGATGGCGACATTTCTTATGTGGAGTACTACAAAAAGGTAAGTGCAAGAACGCTTCCCAAAATGTCTGAAAATCGAATTAATTTTTTATTTTTTTAGCGATACAACATCACTATCCGAGACTTCAAGCAGCCTCTGGTCGTGTCTCGACCCACCGAGAAAAACATTCGTGGAGGTGTTGATCAACTCATCATGCTTATTCCCGAGCTGGCTCGGGCCACAGGCATGACCGACGCAATGCGCGCCAACTTCCGGTAAGTTTAAAGTGAGATTATATCTTTTGAATATCTGCTAAGTTCTCTGTTCGTGTGTTTAGCTTGATGAAGGCCATGAGCGAGCATACCAGACTGACTCCGGATCGTCGCATTGAGCGCCTGCGCGTGTTCAACCAGCGATTGAAGTCTGCCAAGGAGAGCATGGAAACCCTCAAGTCCTGGAACGTCGAACTGGACTCAGCCCTGGTGGAAATCCCAGCTCGCGTTCTGCCACCGGAGAAAATCGTGTTCGGCAACAACAAGAGATTCTTGTGCGACGCTCGCGCCGATTGGACCAATGAGTTCCGCAACTCCTCGATGTACAGTCACGTGGACATCAAGAGGTGGTATGTGATCACTCCGGCTCGAAACTTGCGTGAGACGCAGGAGTTCGTGAAGATGTGCATCCGGGCAGCCAGCGGAATGAAGATGCAAATCTCTGAGCCTCGCTAGTAAGTAATAATTTAATTTTGAGAGTACTCAATTTGATGTGCTGTCTTTTGTAGCGATGAAATCAAGGACGACCGTAATGGCACTTACTCTCAATCGATCGATAATGCCGTGGCCAAGGATCCACAAATTGTGATGGTTGTGATAAAGACTACAAATGAAGAGAAGTCCGTCTGATTGCTTTGATTGTCCAGAACAAGTTCTAATATTCTTTCCGTTGCTAAACAGGTACAGCTGCATCAAGAAGCGCACCTGCGTGGACAGACCGGTGCCCTCGCAGGTTGTAACTTTAAGAGTTATCGCTCCACGGCAGGAGAAATCTGCTGGGCTTATGTCAATTGCCACAAAGGTGGTTATACAGATGAACGCCAAATTGATGGGTGCGCCCTGGATGATTGAGCTGCCTCTCCGCGGCTTGATGACTGTCGGTTTCGATGTCTGTCACTCGTCGAAGAACAAAAATAAGTCATATGGAGCTCTGGTAGCTACCATGGACCAGAAGACTTCGTGCCGCTACTTCTCCTCGGTGACCGAGCATATGAAGGGCCAGGAGTTGTCCGACCAGATGTCGCTGAATATGACATGCGCCCTGAAAGCCTACCGGGAGCACCACGGTACCTTGCCCGAGCGCATTCTTTTCTTCCGCGACGGTGTCGGCGATGGACAGCTCTACCAGGTTGTCAACACCGAAGTAAAGTTCCTGAAGGCCAAGCTGGACGAAATATATAAATCGGCTGGCAAGGAGGAGGGCTGTCGCATGGCCTTTATCATCGTGTCCAAGCGAATCAACTCTCGTTACTTTGTAAATAAGAGAAATCCGCTTCCGGGCACGGTTGTTGACGATGTGATCACCCTGCCCGAGCGGTACGACTTCTTCCTGGTGTCGCAGGCAGTTCGTCAGGGAACAGTGTCGCCCACGAGCTACAACGTCATATCCGACAACATGGGCCTGTCCGCCGATAAGCTTCAGATGCTGGCCTATAAAATGACCCATATGTATTACAACTTCTCCGGGACTGTCCGGGTCCCCGCCGTGTGCCAGTACGCCCACAAACTGGCATTCCTTGTGGCCGAAAGTATTAATCGCTCCCCTTCTGCCGGATTGGAGAACCAACTATACTTTTTGTAAACACCCACCACCGTGCCCAAAAAATATTTGCGAAGACGGAAATCTATTCGGATACAAGTTCTAATCGCATTCTGCACTGAGAAAATGAAAAAAAAAAACTAGCTTAATCCAAAAGTGAGCTCCTTATATTCAATTTGGATTCAACTACATGTAGGGCCTTTAATCGTCCGCATGTTAAATTTATAGCATGCTTTAAAACTTTAAAAACTGATTTAAGTTTAACAAGCGGACGAGATAACGTCCTAAAATATTTTACATTATAAATTTTACCAACTATTTGCGATTTTATAAATTTGTATCCAAGATTGATATATTTATATTAAATAAAAATAAAAAATTGAAATTTATGTCTGAAAGCACATTTACCAACCTTATAATCGTAACGTAATCTTTAAAGGATTCTAAGCCATATTGGCGAACAAACTCATGGTCTAAATGACGTTTAACCGCCCAAACGCGAATGAAAAATGTCGCTTTTTTTGGGGGAAAAATATAGTAGCAAGCATAAATATATAACTGAATATAAAATAAATATTAAAATTTGTATTACATCCACCCATACGGCTTGTGACTTTTGACCCAATACAAATCGCCCTATACCTATGTTTTGGTTGAACATCATTCTAGTTTCACTCATTCAATAAAAACAAAAATTGTTCTGTACTTCACTTCTTTCAATTTTATTTTATTTATGCAAAATCGTGTATTCCATTAAATATACAAATGAGATTTAAAATCGAATCGAAAGGATAGCGCTTTATGCAAATATTGAGGAGTCTACAGAAATGCACACACAAAATAAGAAAACTATGAGTAAAAGTATAAAAATATATGAATCTATTGTTTGCCTTCAAAATGCAGTTGGAATTGTTAAGTTCAGTTAACACAATAAAGTTAACAGTTCGCGCATTGCCACAAAAAACGCACTTAAATAATTACAATTACAAAATTTTTTTTGATAGACCTTTTTACAAAACTCTTTAGCCGTTGCAAACAAATTTAAAAATAATGTTTTCTCTTCTTGGAGAAAAATGTTTAAACAAATGTTGCACAACAGAAATTTTTTCGGGTTTTTAACTAATTTATCAGTATAGAGGTGGAATTTACTAGGTTGTTAGTGTACACTATCGGCATCCACAAAGATTTGCTCGTATTGCTTTTTTCTTAATTAGACTGACGAGAAGTTGTTAATGAATGTGAATGGCTTCTTGAGTTTCGACTGATAGAACATTTTCCGGTTTTTTAACTAATTGCGAAAAATTAGGGTTTCCTTCACTATTTACTATGACGCGTTTTGTGTTTGCTTCTGCTGCAGCTGCTGATGATGTTGCTGTTAGAGAGGTGGTAAGCGTGCCTGACGCTTAGAATCATTTGAGCTTGGCGTATGCGTCGACCTTTTTGTGAAACTGGTTGTAGAACTCCAAGGCCACGTTACGCGTCTGGTTCAGCGCCTGATTGATGTTCTCGGGCGAGAGACGGCCACTAATAAAAGTTCAGAATTATAAGGGTTGCCTTTTCGGAAAAACTTGAAAACAGTCAAACTTACACAAGCACCTTTTCCTTAACGAGCGCGGCAGACTTGTCGTAGCTGCTGACGGCAAAATCGCTGACGCCCGCGGCAAAGGCTTCGATCTTGCCAGACAAATTGGGCACGTATTGGTCAATCTACAAAAAAGAAAGCATATTAACAAAGGAGCCCGAAAGTAACACAGAGATTAATTTAAAACTGGTTTGCGCATATCCAAACGCGATATGACCTCATCTTCGCATCGATTAGAAGACACTTACGAATTTGGCCACAACGGGCCACTTTGCGCCGAAGTATCCCTTGCCGTTCTGGTAAACGTTGCAGGCCGCATTCCTCGCCAGCTTCCACAGGTCGCCGGTGGTCTTGATCGCCGGCTCTGCGTACGGCGGGACATTCACCTCCGCCCACTTGTAGCCCCGTGCTCCGGCGCTCATAACCGTGTACCAGGTCTTCTGCACGTGCGGCAGCACTCCGGCGTTCTTCAGCACCTTGCCGGTGGCCGATTTCTCGAACACCCCCTTGCCGTTGACCTCGGTGTCGTAGTAGAGAGCTCCGGCAATCAGGGCAATGATGAAGAGGCTGCCCAACGTCCACTTGCAGCATCCGCATTTCTTTTTCTGTGCAGCAGCATTCTGTTTGTTCTTCTTCTGCTGAGCGCTGCTCTTCTCCTGGACACTCTTTGGGATACAAAAATCATAGAATCAATGAAAATTAGAAGCTGCAGGCAATTTGATTTTGGGGCACTGTTTAAGAGTCGCTTTGTTTACCTTCTTAGCGGCCGGCGCTGGTTTGCCGCCCTGTTTGTTACTTTTCGGTTTAACCTGAGCCATTTTCTACTTTAATTTCACTTAGTTTCGAGTATTTCTAGATTATTTCAGCTGTTTTCAGAAAATGTTGAATTAATTATTGTGTTTATCGCTGCAATTGTGTTTGCTAAAAAGAATGACGGGCCTTTGCGAGCTTTTAAACCGAGCTTTTTTTGCGACTGCTACGAAGATTGCTTGCGTATGCTTTTGCGGGATAAGAGCGCGATGACCTAAGATGCGAGAATAAGCTAAAACCGCGAGTGGGGATAATTAAAAGTCTTAAATACATACGTATACTCAGACAAAAATGTCTAGATACTAAAAATTAATATTTTTATTCGAGTTAACGGTTAATATTCAATTGGCGTATTTGTATGCAGTACCTTTTAAACTAGCATTTTAAGAGCCGTTTTCTCGTACGCTTATTAAATTAAAACTGCTCTTTAGATTCTAAATGTCCATACACTTTCAAGTCTTAAACAATACGTTAAATTTAACATGCGTTCGAGAAAGCGGGCCTAGATCTTTTAGTGCTGGCTCCCCTCCTATAAACTAATTTACTAACTTGTGTTTAGTTTAGGATGCCGTATAGAAAACGGATCTAAAAAATGTAAAATTTCAATAACTATTAATTTGAAAATAGATTCTAAAAGTTTTTAGGGTAATGAATGATATTGATATTAATATTTCTATGACCAACAAAGTTCGATGAACTTGGGCTCTGGCCTCTAAATATCTTCGCCTTTGTGCTTCCCGAGTGAAAGAAAGAAAGGTAATGAAGAACTCTTAAGGGCCGGCGAGAATCAGGGTCACAGTGGACATGCCACGTGTTGAAGCAGCCTAAGCTGGGAAGGCCAGAGCATTATTTCTTTTTTGTAGGAACTCGTAATCTTGGCGTTGGAAGAATTTAAGGTAAGACTGCGAGGGTGCACCACTGTGCAATAAGAGTGAGAGTGGGAAGAGGGGAGGAGATGAGAGTGCGCACAATCAGCAAGAGAGAGGGGAACGGGCGGTGGATGGCCAATCGCAGCTGGAACACATCAGTCAATAGGAAAATAAAAATAGGCGTCAGATCATTCGAAAATTGGGCGTGCTGATAAGAATATACATAGTGGCCTGATAAACTGGGATTTATGATGCCCATGATGCCTAATCTCTCTTTTCGAAAGCAACACGTCCGCTCGGAGAAATTTAGCGGCAACTGGAACCCGCATGGCAACGCTACGGGAAAAGTGCAGTTATAGCTGCCACCAATACCAATAGAAGTGCAGAGGGGCGCACGCACACACAACCGTTAATGATGACACGCACACATGTACGGCCGAAACGCACTTTGCACGGCATAAATAACAACAAAAACTGTAGCGACAACGCGATAATTAAGGTGCGGATTTATGCTCACTGTCGATGAAAAGCCAGTTGAAGTTGAGAGAAATTACGGGCGAACGCCGGCTACCGTTTGCCGTCTCTTTCTCGCAGTAACGTCGCGTTGGCAGCGTCCTCTCCCCTCTGAACTTTCGTCTGGTTTTCAGTTAATACTTGGGGTCTATCTACCTAAAAGGTCGCACCTGGCTAGCTGCGCAGTCTAATTATCCCAATTCATTCTTTTTAGCACCGATTGCAATTAATTATTCACTTTTGGTTGTCATTGAACAAATTTATACCTTCGTTTTTTTCACGAGAGCGGTGTGACCAGACTGATAAATGGAAATGTCCATCACCAGCGATTTGAACGCTTAACAGTGTGGCCAGAGGTCGGATTAAAAGCGCGTAAAATTCAAATATTTCAACAACGTTCCAGAGTTTGATTTCTCGAAAATGTACCTTTGAATTACTCGATTTCAGTTAACAGAAATATAATAACTAAAACAATTTAAAAAAAAATGTACATAAATTGTTAAAAGAAATTACAAAAAAATTTTAATACCTAGTCTAGACAGCGCCTTTTTGTTTAATACAAAAAAAAATATTTGTATATATATGAACCGTACTTACCAGCAATACTTCTTTTAAGCATTCGAAGTTGCCGTCTTTGCGCTTGCTGGCCTGAAGTTCTTCGTTCAGATTCTCTACATCTTGTAGAAATGAGTGGTATACAGGCGACGTAGCCAATTTGTGTGTAGACGTGGGCCAATTCTCGTCTAAACAGGGTTAATAGCTTATTAGTAAGGGCTTGTACTTAATTTACAAATAAATGGACTGTGCAATTCAAATTTAAATAGTTAGATAGTTTTCTAAAGTTTTAAAACTTAATCTTCAGAACTTTTTAAAACTCTCGGATCTTACCTATAGCTCTCAGTAGCAATAGACTAGGCAGCGGTTGCTTTTTGTAGTTCATGCGCCACACTCTGAGGCAATCGTCTCGGCCGCTGCTGAGCAGGCAACTAATACAGCCTTCGATCTCGTTGTTCTGCTTGGAGGATGCACTTATCTCGCGGAAGAGCGTCAGAAATATATTGGCATGCTTCACGGGACTGTCGATATAGTTTTGCTATAAATACAGCGGACAAGAGTCGGTTAAAAGACGCAGATATTGTGGGTTCCGTACGAGTCTTACGAGCAACAAGCGTGCACTTCGCTTCAGACTTTGCTGCCACTCCTTCGGCAGGTTGTTGTAGGACGCATTCAGGGCATTGTAGGTGGCGAAGAACTCCTGCTGGTTGAGTAGCAGCGGGTCCGCCGGCTTCCGGGCGGCAGCTGCACTCAGAGCCCGCTCCATGTACTCCACCACGAACTTGGTGTACTGCTTCAGCTCCATGTTGGGCAGCATCAGGTTATGCCACACCCTGACGCCCTCGTTCAGCGATTGGTAGCCGCCCTGGCCAATGGCCCAAAGAATGCTAAGGCAGATGTTGCTGCGGTTCTGGTAGGAGTTCCGCAGCAACGCAGTCTTGGCCAGGTTCCTTGAGCAAATACTCGGCCAGTTCTGACCGATCAGCTGGAGCACCAGCTTGTAGCCGGCCACCGTCTGGTTGTTGTTCAGATCCGTGGCCATGCTGTCCAGCAGGGAGTAGAAGAAGTACTCCAGGTTCTGCTCGCCAACGCTGCCCAGGAACTCCACAACGGAATACTTAAGCGAGGCACTGGCCAAGTTGCTGGGGTACTGGGCCGAGCGGCCGGAGAAGATGGGATCGCAGTCGTAGGAGAGGGCGCCATTGAAGTACTGGGCAATCTGCGGGTGGGGGAAGCAAAACGATTAGTTACCTGGATATACGGGCATTTACTTGAGCCACCTACGTGACTCAGCCAGCGCAGCTCGGAGCCAGGACAACTGAGCTTAACCTGCTCCAGTTGGGCGGCAAAGTCGTCCCGGGTGATGTTCCTCAAGGCCAGCTCCAGGGTCTTCGGCTTGGCCACCGCGGACGACGTGGACGACTTCTTCTGAGTCGATGTCGAGGCACTAGCGTTCTTCACGGCGTTCTTCTTCACAGGCGATTTATTGGCTTTCGATGAGGACGAGGCACTTGAACTGGATTTCGCGGGGGAGTGCGACTTGTTGTTGTTGTTGCTGCTGCTGGAGCCGAACAGATTGCGATATCGCTGAGTTGGCACTGTGGAGTGGATAAGGGAAGGGCTGAGTTGTAGTCGCGATGCCAGGTGCACTGCTCTATTCAAATTTCCTACACAGCTCCTCCAGTTTCGGCAGCTGGGCCGCAATCCGCTTCTGCTCCGTGTGGGCGATCACCTTCTTGTCCAGATTCTTCTGCTTGCGCGACTTGGAGACCACCTCCCATTGTTCCGACATCTTGAGTGCAGCTGCGTTAATTGGTGGAATTAAATTGAATTGTCAAATGCAGGCGGCCGGCAGAATAAAAAGCAACAAGCCGATGGATTAGTGTGAACGTTAGTTGCAGGGGCGTAAATGCTAAAGTAAATAAATTGATTTGTGGGGATTTGATAAAATAGCTTTGACCTTTTTTGTGTGCCTTACGAGTTCTGACAGTGCTGGAAACACCTACCAATCACCTGTAAATAACTGGAAAAAGCCTTTAAAAACTTAAGGGGGATTCCCTAAACTGTTGAATTGCTGAATTGTTGAATTTTGGTCAGCTGTTAATCAGCTGTTCCATACAAAGTCAACTTTCAGAAATTTCAGCAATTCATCAGCCTCGGGGCTGTTGAAAATTTTGTTGAATTGCTGAAAAGCCAGAGTTGTCACCTTTTTTTTAAAAGTCGTGGCAACTCTGTAACATTTTAGTATCACCAGTACGCATTATTTATTTTAAAATCAACTTAGAATGCATATTTGTGGTTCTTTTTGCCTTGGTAACACTTTTAGACAATAACTACCAATAATAAATCAAATTTTACATGCTTTAAGTTCCGTGAAATTTTTTAACAAATAACAGCTGTTTGAAAATTCAACAGGAACCATTTTGGGTCGTTCCCTTAATTGATGAAATTTTTTGTTGAATTTTCAACAATTCAGCAATTCAACAGTTTAGGGAATCCCCCTATAATTAATGTGTGTACTACCAGGGCTACAAGAACCGCCAAGTGCTGTTTCTATCCAAGTTGCAAACCCTCCGTGGTGTTTCCAAACCTGGTCCTACTGCTCGGACTGTTTACAAAAATCTTTGGCCAAAAATTCATAAAATTTATTAATTGTCTGCGTAAAGAAGGTTTTTTATATACTACCAAGCAAATGGCTGCTTCACGCTCCCGGCGCAACAATGCCGGCAACAAAATAGCCCACTTACTGAACGAGGAGGAGGAAGACGACTTTTACAAAACGTCCTACGGCGGATTTCAGGACGAAGAGGAGGACAAGGAATACGAGTAAGTTTGGATTTAATTAGGAAAATGAGTTGTAAAACCATTAAAAATCCACTCCCAGGCAAAAGGACGAAGAGGAGGATGTGGTGGACTCGGACTTCAGTATCGATGAGCAGGACGAGCTCGTTTCAGATCAGGAAGAGGCGCCCGACAAGAAGCGGAAACGCGGGGGAGTCAACACAAAGGCGTACAAGGTGCTACTCCTTTTTTACAAAGGGATTTTATTATTATTGTTTTTTAAAACATTCTTCATAATTTGCACTTGAAATAACATTATTTTATTATTTTATAGGAAACCAAACCGATAGCCAAGAAGGAAACTAAGGCCGCACCGGCCGTGCACAAAAAGCGGGGCGGTGGCGGGGTGGCTAAGCGCCGGGTTCGTCCCCGCTTTACCGTCCTTGACTCCGGCCGCAAATCCATTCGCACTTCGACGGCCATCAAGACGCAAGCCACGAAGATCCGGCTCAAGGAGTTGGACGATGCCCGCAAGCGCAAGAAGAAGAAGGTGCGTGTGGAGGACTATATGCCCACGCAGGAGGAGCTGCTGGAGGAGGCCAAAATAACCGAAGAGGAGAATATTTTATCCCTGGGTAGGTGCCCAAAGCGTTCGAAGGGGCTATTATAAAACATTCCCCCTGCTAACTTACAGAAAAGTTCCAGAAAATGGAGTTGGAGAAGAAAAAATCGAGGCCCACCAAGCGCACGTTCACAGGTCCTACGATACGCTATCATTCACTGACCATGCCCGCGACGCGAAAGCCTACTCGCGGAGCCATTCCTCCCAGTGATTCAAAGGATCCCGCCGGGAAATGCGAGCGCACATTCGTCACTGTCGAGAACGATTTCAACGACAAGGTGTTCCAGAACATCTTCCGCCACAAGCCGGCGCCCAAAGTCAGCAATGGCATATGTCCCATTACCAGGTTGCCAGCCAGATACTTCGATCCGGTCACCCAGCAGCCATACTACAGCATCCAGGCATTCAAGATCCTACGAGAAGCATACTACATGCAGCTGGAGCAGCAGGGCGGCAGTAGCGAACAGCCCGAGCTCACCAAGTGGCTGGAGTGGCGCAAGCTGGTCAAGGAAAATCGCCTCAAGGCTTCAGCAGCTGCCAGCAAAAATGGAGACAACTAGAACGTCTACGCATTCATTAGATTGCTAATTTAAATATCGAATAAAAAATGGAACCAACAATAAGTTACTTTTTTATACATTTCTAATCAAGAAAGTATTTTAAACGCAACCCTCCAATTCATCAGGCACAAGTCAAAGTTTATTGAACACATTCTCTCAAATATGTATTTTACAATCGTGGCCATGAAGCAGTACATAGGGTATTTCCCAAAACCTTATCTTTAAAATGTTATTTATAATCAACGCACAGTCTGTTTTGTTTGCTAAGAAAGAGACTAAACATGTACATCCGGTATATTGGCTTAACAAAAAGATAATACTGTTTAATCTGCCCATCCAAGTTATATACAACCTATTTATAACGTTTTGCATATCGTAGTTTTCATTAACGCTATGCTTTGAATTGTATATGATTTAATTTTAAGAGCTTCATAAGTCTCTATTAAGACTATTCGTATATAGTGTTTTGCTTAATTTCCGTCAAATGGTCAAGTTGATAAGAACACAGCCTCCGTCCATTAAGTAACAAAAAGTTAGAGGAAATATGGTTGTTCCGACACCTACTAGCTACGCAAATTGTTCTAGGTTGTAGCATCATCCTAACACTCAAAAAAATAGGATCTTTTAATTTTAAAAGTTTAAAGTCAAAACTGATTGAATTTGTATATTTACGTATAAGGTTTGATGTTTATAATCCGATAAAAAGGTAAGTTATATTAAAATTAAGCAATTCTCAATTACGAAAATCAAATAATTTCGAAATAGTAAAGTCTTACAGGGAATTAGTTTAGTGGACCCGACTGCAACCTTGTCCGATCTGTGTGTTTTTGTCTACTTATCAAAAAACAACGCACGCGCTGGCTATTTGGTTTGTCTGGACGGACAAGGTATTTTCATGTCTAAGATTTAGTCAAACCCGTGAGCTCAGATTATTCAAACGTCTTGCGGTTAACCGGAACAATGAAGAACTGGGCTGCTATTGGGGTCCTTCTGGTACTTGGATGGCAGTACGGCGGAGTTGTCCTGGCGGACAGTGACAGCAGCGACAGCAGCAGCAGCGGGGAGAGCAAGCACAAGAACAAGTACACGACCACCGAGCACAAGTACAATTATCCCGCATATCCGATGCCCTACGGTTATGGGTATCCGTATCCACCATACAACATTCCAATGCAGCCATATGGACCGCCGTACCCCCAGTATCCGCCTCCGCCCATGCCCGGCTACCCGCCGTATTCCTACAATCCGTACATGCAGGGTCTACCACCGCCTCCACAGCCGCAACAGGCTCCTCCGCCTCCAGCCCCGATGTATCCGCCGGCCGGAGCTGGTCAAAGCCCCGGCTACTACCCCAACTCGCTTCCAAATCAGCCTCAACCACAACAGCCTGCACCTGGACAAGGAACCGGACCTTCGGCCAACTATCCTCCAGGCGGCTCAAGCGTTATTAACCACTCCCTTAAAGTCAACAAGGAATACAACGAGGACGGCCACCACTCGACCTCAACATAGTCGATCACTAAAACCTCCGGACACTTTTAATATTCGTTTGTCTTAGAAAAACAAAAAAGGTATAAACTATAGTTTTATATACTTGAAAACAAAATGATACTTGTGAAATTGTCATATCTTAAATACTTTTGTTTATCACATGCTAAGCCAAATTCCTAATCAAACTCCTCTTTTGACACTTCAAAGGTAAAATAAAATCTGCTCTTCCCAAAATCAAAGAAGGAGTGTTTATATCAAATGTAGGTAAACATATCACATGTATTAAACATACCTATAATATAAAATATTAGGCACTTGACTGCTCCACCACAGTACTGTGATTGTACAGATGCACATGGTAGGCATAGCTGTTCATGCATTTCTGAATGCTGAGCACTAGCGGTTCGAACGGATGCCAAATGAAGGCGCACAGTTCGCGCGGTGCCAGAGGATTGATATGCCTACGCGCCGTGGCGTGCAGTCTGAACTTGACTGACTGCGAGGTGCGATCTCGGAAGACAATAGGCTCCGCGGAGCAGGGATTGGGTCGCTCCAGCGGAGACACGTGGCGATCGTCGAAGCTGAATTCGTTGAACCTCAGGTAGGGCGAAGGCGAGAGGCTCTGGGAGCTCACGGGTACGCTGGGGTTGAACCGCAATGCCGCATGACGAACGAAGGGAATCGACTCGTTGGCGTCCACGAAGTTTTGTTTCAGGAAGAAGTGCAGTGGCAATGAGGGGGCGTCTCCTGTTTGCAGCGATCGTACGTTGCTCATCTCGTCATAGAACTGCAGAATGATCTGCAGCAGGTCGACGGAATAATCCGGATACACGCCAACCACTTCCTCGCCAGAAATGGTATAGAACACGTATAGGCGGCGGGGAGATGTGGCCATGGGCATGGTGTCGCTATCTTTTGGCCGTTCTTCGTAGCGCAGCAATAGAAGTTCCTTGTTCACCAGTTGCATTCTCTCCATGATCATGTGCTCTACCTGAAAAAGGAAAATATTATGAATTACTTTTCTTTTGGAGAGATTTCTGGGATTATAAAATTGGCCCGAAATTAATGGCCACTTCACTTACAAACTCAAAGTTTTTGTAAAACTCCTTCTGTTTCTCCGTGGCACTGGGACCCTTTGGATCAATTTGGCGATACAGAAAGCTTAGTACGCGTTGTTTTATGTCCGTAATGGGCAGAACCGTAGTCGCATCCAGTTTGCCAATATCAGCGGGAGCCCTCTCGATGAAGTCTCGCGGCCGGGGACCGATCGTCTCCTGCTCGTGGAACTTGCCTTCCGACACAGAGTAGACGTAGACGCACTGATGCAGCCGCGACATGATCGCCACCTTGGAGCCGAAGACCGAAATGCCATGATTGTGGGCAATGACGATCGAATCGTGCGGCAAGAGAAGCCGGTCAGTTACGACCCCCAGTTTTAGGTCCACCACGAAGAAGACGTACGAAAAGGCGTCCAGCTTGTCGAACAGATCTGGATACCGGACGTAGACGTCGAAGGGCAGGGCACCCCGCAGCACGGACATGGCCGCCAGCAGGACATACCGGCCCTCCTCCAGGAACACACTAAACTCCCGGTGCAAATAGTACAGGTTGTAGTCGCCCTGGCACAGTCGCAGAGTCAGGGCCTCCTTGGTGACGAACAGGCGCTCGAAGATCGTGCTGCGGAGGACGTTGTCCTGCCTGCTGAAGCACTCGGCGCTGCCCACGTCCGCCTGGCGGATCAGTTCGCCCACCGCCGCACAGCTGAATCCCCTGTATCTGTAGATGTGCAGGCTGCGCTGGTCCTGCGAGAAGGCCAGAAGTTTGCTGCCATCCGGCGTGAACTTGCGCAGATATACCGGCGGAATAGAGACCGAGTCAATGGTCAGGCTGGGAGTGATGCACTTGTAGAAGGAGCGCTCGTAGGCCAAGCGGGGCAGCCTGGCCGGCTGACTGCCCGCACAGGTGTATCCGGATTCCCGGCTCTGCAGCAGGTGCACGAGGTTCTGCGATCGGAGGCGCCGCTCGTAGGCCATCCTGGCTGACCATGGAGCAGTCCTTGTAATTCCTGAGAACCCTTTTGGCGGTTTCCGATCGCCCCAAAATAACTCCAAAATAAAAAAATAAATAAATTCAAGTGTGACCGTGACTAGACTCTCAAAATATACTACCACAGCAGAACATAACCATTAAATTAAAAAAAAAAAATTAATAATTTTTAATCGAAAGGCAATTTTGAACTGAAATATTTTTAAAATAAATAGACAGTTTTAACTATTATGTAGAACTTTCTATTAAAAGGCTTAACAAATTTAAGAATCCGGAAATATTTTTTCGAAACCTTAATTTCTATAAGTACTAAGATGCCGACAGCAAAGATCAAAAATATAACGCTTTACTTTTTCGAGGTGTCACCCAAGCCTTTTCCAATGAAATTTATTTGGAATTTTTAATTCTCTTTTTGGTTGTATGATATAAGAAATATGTTATGTGCTTCAGCTTTCTTCATTAATTTTTTTCTATGGAAAAAAGTTTTCGTAGATGCCGATTCGCTATGGCCAGAATTTGAGCTTAATAATCTCATAAAGGCTAGCCTTAAACTTTCACTTCTAATGGAAAATCATCTCTCATGTTTCTTCTATGTTTCCGGAAAATGGTAATTTTGAAATCTTTAAAACCATTACGATCATTATTGATGCAAAGTAACTAAATGTATTACATTTAACTTAATCACCAATTTTGTTCACTTGTCGTCCTTGTATAACTATGAATGTTTATACATTGTTTTCCTATTTTGTGATTACAAACTGGATTGTATTAGTCTGGAAAAATCATATATCCACTGAATAATTAAGTTTTTACAAGTCTATTTTTGTTTTTTTCGAAATTTTTCGGAGCTTTAAGTTACTACATATTTCACTTTATTTGGGGTCGAAATGTTTCGTTTGCCATTCCAGAGACTACCAAGCGGAGACATTAATAAGATTAGACATTGTAGCCCACAATGTGGCGCTTGCCGATGCACTCGCCGATGTAGAACCAGAAGATGACCTCGGCGGTCACCAGGGTGTTAAGCCAGGCCTCGCGAACGGTGAGGTTCTTGTAGGCGCCGGTCTTGGCTCCCTTGACGAGGTTGCCGAGTCCCTGGCGGATGGCCGGAATATCGGCGGGCGTCGGGGGCGTCAGCTCCACCTTGGCGTACTTCAGGAACACGTCCAGTTGTGGCCTCGCCTGCGTGAGGAGCCCTGCAAAAATGATCATTACATAATTTTGCGATTGGTAGGCGCTGAAGGGGGAGCAAAAAACTGTTGGCGTTCAAATCTCGGCACTTACTGTTCACAAGTCCTGATCCCTTGGAAGCCAAACTCGCCATTTTTCAATTTGGTTCTACAAACAGTTGGAATTATACAAGAGGAAATTAGCGAAATGTGTGGAAAACCTTACCTTTTCAGTGTGCGACGAAACAGAGATGTTATGGATCTAGACCAGGGTTGGCGGAACACTTATCGATTGGCGGTCGAACACTACCAACTGCACGGTTATTTTTGGTGGTGTTCGACTTCCTATTCCATTTAGTGAAATCATGATGCTGTTTTTGATTTTAAAGAATAGTTGTCTAGAAATAAGCACAAATGTTTAAAGTTTATAATAATGCAAATAAAGTGAATATTTTATTGCAATATTTTTCGAGCTATTGCAGCCCTGTGTTATTTTCCAATGGCAAAGCGACGGTCACACTGCAAAGGTGTGGAAATCTTAGTTTCCACAAATCGAGCAAATATTTGCATTTTTCAAGCCCCCAAATTGGCTAATTAGAGTTTTTATTGGATCGAATTGGCCACCGAGCCCCCGAAACGGAAGTGGCAGTTTAATGTTTGTTGTGTCGCCTGCTGCGGAGCGAAAAGTGTGACGGCGGTGAGTGTGCGGGGAGGTATGAACTAAAACTAAAACCGAGCTGAGGCTGAGTGTTTTAAATCGAAGTCTGTGCGAATAGAAAGTGCTGCATATAGATACAATGTGTATTGTTTAGTGCAAATGTTCCAGTGCGAAACTCGCGTGAAGTCGCCCCAAAAGCCACACACTCACACACTGACGTGCGTGTACTTGGGTGCTGGTGCTGCGGCGTGTGTGTGAGTGCGTGACGGTCTAATTTGCGTTGGTGGGGGCCCCAAAGATATACGTATACGTATGGCGCATAGAGGTGCCCACGTAAAGCCCTCAGGTCGGAGCCCCCAGATAATGCCACCGAAAGGGGCGCATTATCGACTAATCTCGCCGGGACTGAGTGAATGCATCTGCGGGGGTGACTAGGGCGTTACGCCCTTATCACCTCACAGTGGGTATCATTTCCGTGGGGTGTGGTCCAGACGTTGCATATTCACCAGTCGGGCATATCACAAAACAATTCAAATAACAACTGGGTGATTGTGGATAAGGAGTTTCAAATGGATAAGCCACATACAATATCTACCAAACTTTTGAGGCTATTTTTAGTCAACTGATTAGTGCTCTAGTGACACATTTTGGTGCTTTTCCAATTTTTAATTTAATAAATCAATAAAACATTAACCACAGGGGCTTAAGTGAAATGTACTTTTTTACATACATTTTGTTTAGTGAAGTTCTGTCTTAAATATTTTAATTTTCCCAACCTATAAATCGTTGGATATCTATAACAATATCTCTAACAATTGAAAATGGTTGGCTAATCAGAACTAATAATAATTCATAATTGATAATGATCATAATTTTATTAGAATAAAATACCACATTGTTCATATTGAGTTTGTAAAACGTTTATTTTAGCTTAGTTCTATTCACTGCTAATGGTTTATAAGAAAATTACACATCAACCATTTTTATTTGATCATTAAAATCATAATCAAATTTAGCGTAAATAAATAATTTATGTACCAAATCCCTATTTTGAATTGACACGCAATCACAATTATAAAATAAACATTTTTATTTGTTTAATAAAGTCATTATCAAATGTAACGTAAATAAATTCTTTATGTACCAATTTCTTACTATAATAATAACTACACTCCACACATTCGAATTTTTGACTAATTAAAATTTTGTCTTTCAGTCGATGAGGACGCGTTAATTTGCGGGTGTGCCAAGTTGGAGATAATTGTCTATTGCGCCCGACCATGCCGCTGCCTAAAAGATCGATAGAACCCGTGCATGTGGCCCGCTCCGTCTACCAGCAGGATGAGCTGCAGTCCGTGGAGCTGGAGACGGTCACCAACACAACGCTGACAAACATCATCCGCCAGCTGTCCTCGCTGTCGAAACACGCCGAGGATGTGTTCGGCGAACTGGCCCGCGATGTGGGCAACATCGGGGATCGGGCCAACTCGTTGCAGGCGCGAATCGATCGCTTGGCCATCAAGGTGACCCAACTGGATAGCACCGTTGAGGAGGTGCCCCTGACGGACATCACCCGCAAGAAAGCCTTCAAGTCGGCCAAGGTCTTTGACCAGCAGATCTTCTCGCGCGCCACAATGCCGGCGCCCATGATGGACACATATGCTCAATGCGACAAGCCGCCGCCGCTGGACAAGCTCAACGTCTACCGAGACGATGGCAAGGATGGACTCAAGTTCTACACTGATCCCAATTACTTCTTTGAGCTGTGGCGCCAGGAGATGCTGAAGGACACCGAGCGTGTGATGCACGACAAGGGCAAGAAGCTAAACAGACCGCGGCAGGAGGGAGCCGGCGGAGCGGCTGGACGTGGCAACAAAAAGCAGAAGACCAAAATAAGGGTGCCGCACAACACGCGCGAACAGCAACGACAACGTGCTCTGGTGCACGGCGAAACCTTGATGCCCAACAACGTTATCTACCGCACACCGAACTCCATGGTCAACGAAGAAGCCGGATACGGAAGTAAGTACCTGGCAAAGGGACTGGTTACCGGAGGAGCCAAGTACTCAGTGCGAACCAAATTAATAGGCTGTTATTGGAACGTTTGTTTCGCGCACTGAATATTGGCACTTGTCTTGCAATCGAATGGAACATTTTAATTATCAATTATGTCCTGTCTGCCCGTGTAGTTCAGCTAGTCAAAATACAGACCGTGGGCGAGGCTGACATCGATTTGCGGCAAAGCACTCTCGATGCGCACCACCAAGTTGTCGGTAATATCCAAGACGTAGGTACGATGATGGGGCCCCACGTAGCTTTCATTTGCGCCCGGCTGACATCCCACGATACAGATGTTTTCGCCATTCATTCACCTATTTCACTCAGAAGCTCGCTAGTTTTTGATACGCCTCAAAACCCAGATCGGGGATCACTAATTCGTATTATTTTGCAGTTGCTCTTAATTAGAATTATCCCAAATCATCATGACCCAATGAAAGGCGGCCGAAACAAAGTTTCCAGCTCTAACAATTGTTATACCCTTGCAAAGGGGCTTATGATTTCAGTCAGAAGTTTACAACGCAGTGAAGGAGAATTTTCCAACCCCATAAAGTATATATATTCTTGATCATCATTACTAGACTAGTCGATCTAGCCATGTCCGTCTGTCCTACGCAAACTAGTCTCTCAGTTTTAATCAGATATCGGGCCAAAACTTTCCCAAAAATCCTATTTCTGTTGCAGGTAAAAATCCTATTGGATCGGACAAAAAAAGCTTGGCTGTTTTTTGACATATTTTCTTATTATTTTGGGAATATCACTTTTCAAATGCTTCTAAACTTAGAATTTAATTTTATAAAAATCGGACGAATATATCATAGCTGCCATAAAAGCGATTGGAAAATTAATGCAAAATTAGTAGGAAACAAATTAAAGCTCCGTTGGTTTTGTATTGTAATCTCTTCTACTCTGGGATATAACTCTTTTTTAATATTTCAGAATTTCGAATTAAATTTAACAATAATCAGACGACAATATTTAATAGCCGCTATAGGATGGAATGAAAAATTAATGTAAAAATAATACGAAATTTAACATTTTGTAATTTTTAATTTATAAGGAATGATCTACAAGGATATATAAGCTTCGGCTGGCCGAAGCTAGCTTCCGTTTTTGTTTTTAGATAAAAGAGATTTTATTATTTCTTAAAACTGTCGATAAGGCGATCGTTTATTAACAAAGTGTTTAGATATTCAAGCATTATATTTTAGTAGGTCGTCTCTTACTTTAATGCTTTGAGTACAATTTAAGCAATAGATAACGAAAAGCAAACATAATAATTGGATTTTTGATAGGATCTTTTGAAGTGATAGAGCATTTCCTCTAAAATAATCCATTTTGGTGATGTAAATACGGTCAACGAAACTTTCTACTTCATACTTCGAATCGACGACTGTTTTTCACAGCTTTTGTTTATCTGCATGTCGTTTTTATAAACTCTTTTATTATTTTTCGTTACAATACTAATGAACGTAATCATAATTAGCTCTGTAATTGCGAATGGATCAATCGCGCATAATCATCTCATTTACAGATACAATAAAGCCTTATAATATGCTTTCGCATTTGGAGAATAACAGTAATGTCACCAAGCAAACCGCCGTTGCGATTGCAGGTTAGACATCCACACACCTTAAGCAAGCTCAGTAAAGACTATAAGTGTTCTTTCACACGCTTCTATCCTTTTACCTTACTAGCAAACCCTTTTGATTTTCTTAGCATAAGTGTGTACAGAGAAATACTCTTTTCAAACTATCAATCGAGGTCGCGATGATTTTATGAGTTCAATGTTAATGCAAAAGGCAGATCTCTTATCACAAAACACTGTAAAACTAGACATTTCTTACTTTGTAATATTTAATTAATGTGTCTGCACATTATGGCTACAATTAATTAATGTGTCTGCACATTATGGCTACAATGCTTTTTGCATAATGTTCAAATTCATTTCTCACTCGCGATTTACGATTGAGACGCCGTTTTTGTTTAGGATCCTCCTATCTTTCTGTTGTAGTTCAGTCAATTTCCATATCTACGTCTACATGTCACTCTGCAGCTTTACTAATTCCTTTCTGTCGCCACATCTTGTTCTATGAAAGTTTCTCCAAATTGTTTTCTGTGCAACGAGCCTAAAAAGACTGTTAATCGGTATGATGTTTGTATTTATCAAAATTTTTATTCAAGTCCAGCGGTCGCTCTCAGCTGCACAGAAATTCCGAATTGCTTGTAATTACATACATGTCTTAATGTTACTCAAGTGTAATTACACAATAATTGGCGTGTTTTTAAATGAGATGTGTGTCCTGTCAAAACATTGCTTGCAGTGGCCGAAAGTCAATAGCTCTAATTTTCCACCCGTTTTTCTAGATATGGGAGTTTACGATACTCGTCCACCTCGTCCCAACTCGATCGAATTGAACCGAAGTTACCATTCCGAGCAGATTGATGGTAGTACCTACGAGCAGCTTCCTCCCCAGATGGGTAATCAGTATGCGGCCACCTTCGGCAACGGAATGGGTAACCCCCAGCAGATGCACATGCAGCACCAGCAGATGTACGACGCCGGGCTGTATCAGTCGCATGCGCTGTACGGCCAAACGGGCCAGAACGTCATGTCGCCGGAACCCATCTACGGACCGGGCACCCCGTCGCGCAACAAGCCGCGACCCTCGCAGCCGCCACCGGCTCCGCCGTCCAATGGCAGCGGTGGGGGCACGCCCACAGCCTCGAATGCCAACACTCCGACCCGGGGCAGAAGTATGTCGACCAGTCGGGACGCCTTGCCACCGCCGCCGCCAGTTCCAGACGTCATTTCACCAATGTCCGCCATGAACGGAGGCAACGGTGGCCACATGGCGGCCAAACTGCTTGGCCGGGCAAACAGTTCGTCGGGAGCTGGCTCTCCGCAGATGACTCCCAACAGCGTCCAAAATGCCAATGATATGGTCATGACGCAGCTGAGCAATACTTTCCACAGCATCGGGATGGGCGGCAACCAGCTGAACTCCCTTAGCGACTTGCCACCACCACCCCCGGTTCCAGATCAGGTTTGTGAAAGTAAATCACCATTGGATTTCGTTAATCGCAATCACTTGCAGCACTCTCCCAAGATGTCGCCCCCTAATGCCGCCCCACCGCCGCCGCCTCCACCACCACCTGTAGAGGATGGCATGGGTAGTGGCAACCAGCATACGCTGCGCCCGCACCAAATTCTGCCCAAATCAATGGTCAATGGCGAAATGCAGCCTGGCCAACAAAATGGTGTGCCGCACATTGTCGCACCTAAAAAGATGTTGCCTCCATTCCACGATCCACGCAACGATTTGATGAAGGCCATTCGAGATGGTGAGTAAATGCATAAAGTCTAGACTCGCCACTAGTTCTGTGTGGCCTGGCTTGCTTTCTTAAAATAAATGAGTTCTCCTAAATAAAAATGTATTGCTTTCAGGTATTACTCTACGCAAGGTTGAAAAGTCGGAGCAGAAAGAAATCGAACGCAATGCGGCGCCACTGGATGTGGCTTCAATCTTGGCCAGACGAGTGGCTATCGAATTATCTGAGTCGGAAGATTCCGATAGCGAAGACGACAGTGAGGGCTGGATGGAACCGAACGAAACATCGGCTTGATCCCTGATTAACTCGTTAAAGCCCGACATAATTCTAAAAAACAAAAAGAAAAAGTAATTCCAAAGAGAATTAATCCATACGATGGTCTAAACCAAGCGTGGTATACAATTGGATTACACAAAAGCACCAAAGCTTTTCTACCACCCTTTAAACGATATACACCTAATCCTAAACAATATATCTAAAATCAAAACTTTAATAGAATTGTATATACACCAACGAGTAATTATCGCTAAAGTAATCGCTATAGTAAACGCATTTGAATTTTAAGCCTAGACGACAATCCAGAAGAAGCTACTAAAACACTAAATTGATTTTCGCTTTTTTTGGAGTCAAGGTCTAAATAGATATGGGCTTCTGTATCATAGTAGTCGGTGTTTGGATATTAAATTATAAATAATCGATATTATCACTAAACTCAATCCTACCCCAACTTGGAATCGAAACGATTAATATAAAACACTTATCCAAATCGAAAATTTAAAATTTTGTAAATACAAATACATTAAAATATCGAACTCCGTAGCATTTCAATATACTCAACAAGCTATGAATTTGTATTATCCTTGTGAAAGTTAAATACCTGTATAATTAATGACATCATATGTTTTACGAAAGTAAACAGCCATGGATATGAGTGGTTGAATAAGCGAATATGGATGTATTTAATTTTTCTTTATATAAAGTAAAATATATAATATAAATAAAGTAATTATAATCCAAATTAAACGAAATGGATTTTTTCATGTAGTTGAAGTTTCGTTTTATTGATTTTTAGGAACTCTGACAGTTTGTGCTTAATACCAGAAGCTTTAGATGTCAAATTAATTTTAATATTTAGGATGACCTAAATAGGTTTCCACTTGAATGCCAATAAGGCAACTTTTAAGCGCAAGTGCTTACGGAAAAAAAGGAAATATTCGTAAAGCAAAAATGCCTGGGCTAGTTTCTTTCACTGCCGGTTATGGTTCAACGTTATCTTAAGGAATATGCATTCATAGGTAATAAAACTTCTTTTCAAGCGCATTCTGCGGAATAGAGTGCAAGTTTGTACCGACAAGGGTAGCCAGTTTTTTGGCATATTGACAAACGGCAGGGACACGTGTGGTGCCTGACCAATTGTAGTAAAGATGGCACATCTTGTACGTGAGTTTTTGGATTTTCTCTGGGCTGATGCCCATGTTGCTGTAGAGAACGTTGTAGCTGGTCGGCGACACGGTTCCCTGACGAACTTGCTGCGAAACAAGGTAAAAATCGTAGCGTTCTGGGAGAGTTATAACGTCATCGACGATAGTTCCGGGTGGGGGATTTTGTCCATTGAGGAAGAAACGCGCGTTCATCGACTTGGTAACCACAATGTAAGATAACTGCGGTGGAGTGGAGTTGGCGCGCTTATACTCGGCATCCAGCTTTTCTACAATGTCCTTCACCTCATATTCGAATAGCTGCTTTAGAGAGCCTGAGCTCACACCGTCCCGATAAAGTAGGATACGGGCTGGTAGCTTCTTATGCTCTCGATGATACTGACGCAGGGCCTTTCCAATCATTGGCCAAAGGGTGTTGGACAGGACATCAAAGGCACTGCACTCAGAGACAGTGCTAAAGTACGTGGAATTTTGTTGAAGATCCATCGAAGCGACCAACGCTCCGTATGCCCTCTTGCGATCACGTGTGCTCTTTGCAATGTCAAAACCGATCGTCATTAGCCCAGACAATGGCAGCTCGATCATCCAGGGAGTATATCCCAACTTGCAATTCAATTGGATTGCTATTTTGGTGGCTATACTCATTAATGTTCGATTGTTAGCCGTTTTAGTCGTGACGACTTGGGTTGGAACAGCTCTATCTACATATCCTCTCTTCTTAATTGATGAGTATCTGAAATGAAAAAAAAAGGTTTTAGTACGTATTCGCATTACCACGTATATATCTATAATTATAACTAAACGTCGGATTCTATTTGAAATAACCATTTAACATAAAATCCGACGTCTAGTTAATATAACAATGAAATCTTGTTGAACGCAAAAATAATAAATTACATATTTAAAAATTGAGTAAATACCTTTCAACGTTGTTGTTGGGAACAAGGCATAAGATGAGTTTGGGATCCATCCGGGCACAATCGTCCATAGCTCTTACATAAGTTGCTGTGCGATCATCATAAATTTTGATTCTGTAAGTTATAGTTATTCATACAATAATAATCCAGAAAAAATGAAAATAAATTATAGTCATCAAAAACCTCTCTTTACGGATTTCTCTCGAACCGTTAAGTGAGGTAATTGTGCTTTTTATAAGCTCACTCTTGTGGGCTTCTAATTTGAAGGCCCATTCCTCCAGCTGCTCTAAACAAATTTTCAAGCAAATTTCTTAGCTCACGAGAATTTCTCTCTGGTGCGATGACTGCCCAGCGATCGAGGCCACCGGTCGGAGTGGTAAGCATCTTTTGATCTCTGAAGGATCTTGTCCAATCAGCGGATTCGCCAGCCGGAACCCTGAAAACATTATTTAGTTAATGCATTCCAGTATGTATTTTCAGCGACTCACTTGGCATGTTGGAATACGATCTTCTGCGGTTCAATTATGCGGCCTCTGACTTCAGTGAGATTCTTGTCGAGATCCATGTGCCAGTCTCTCAAAACTTTCACACTTTCTGGAGTGCTTTGCAAGCGGTGATTAAAAGTGCGCAGACGATCTATGCGTTGCTTGGGATTCATTCGCGTGTACCCATGCATAGATCTCATTAGTCTGTTAATAAATTAATTATTATACCAGTTTCATATATTATACCCGTTATATAAAGTATGTAACAGCTAGAAGGAAGCATTTCCGACCCTATAAAGTATATATATTCTTGATCAGGGTCACTAGCCGAGTCGATATAGCCATGTCCGTCTGTTCGTCTGTCTGTCCGTATGAACGCGAAAGATCTCGGAAATTACAAAAGCTAGAAGGTTAAGATTTCCCACACATATTCTTAGGCCTCCTACGCAACGCAAGTTTATTTCATACGAGCGCCACGCCCCCTCTAACGCCCTCAATCGCCCATTAACGATTTTAAAATGTGTCCTGCGCCCACATCTTTAAAGTTTTCGTTTTTTAAAGCTTTCCCAGAAGTATAAATGCAATTTTGTTGTGTATATTTATACCTATCGAAATCTAGAAGACATTTTTAAAATCGGACCATTCATTAAAAAGTTGTACGCAATCAAAATATATCTATATAAATCTATCTCCCTCGCACTCCCTTTAGCTGAGCTACGATTATAGTCGGGACACCAAACCGAGTACAGCGTTCGCACTCCCTTTAGCTGAGTGACGGGTATTAAATAGTCGGGACACCAACCCGACTATAGCGTTCTCTCTTGTTTTTTGTATTCCCTTGCAGAAGTATTATAATTTTGGTCAGAAGTTTGAACGCAATGAAGGAAATGTTTATGACCCTAGCGATCTCAAACTTTCCCAGGCGGATCAAGTTTAAAAACAACCAACTCGGATGTCTATATCGTATAGCTCCGATAGGAACGACCGTATAAAACTTGCAAAATTAAGATGTAGCTCGAGAAATTTCTACCAGTATATAAGCTATTAGAACGAAACTATCATAAGCTTGCTAATTGGACGTTTATATCTTATAGCTAGCAAAGGAACAATAAGGTAAAATAGATCAACACTTAATGTCTTAAAATATTTGCCATTTTGATTTTTGCGTTCGGGTTTAAATTAATACATAATATTATTGAAGATATGAATGGAAATATGTATTTTTATAAGATTTAAATAAGCACTCAACATTACACGCGTCCAAATATACCAATACCAACCGCTGCTCTAAGATAATGAAAATATTGGCAGTGTTCTAATCACTGAGGGATTTCTTACGACACACCCTTTTAAAAGCCTGTTGCTCATATTTGCTAAGACTTTGCTCGAAATAAGCGAAATTACTAACTGTCAATGAAAAAGGTGATATTCTTAAAATATATGGGGAAAATGTAAATTCAAAAACGTGAGTCAAATAGGACTATGCTAAGATATAAAAATAATTAAAATCTTACTGAAAGTTTGATCGCATATCGTCAGTAAGGCCAGTTACTCGGCAAAGCTCGGGAATAAGGACCACCAACTCACTTGCGTTGGTTTTTTGAGCAGAGTCCCTATTTTTGGATATCAACAAGGGCTGATTATGATCCCGGATGCGAATGTTATATTTCTAAAGAAAAAATGTGTTTAATAAAATACACCAAAATCTTTTGCATATTCAGGACTTACAGTCAGGTAGTACTCCACAAAACTAACATCCCTACCCTTGCAACTAAATGTCGACTTCGGAGTTTGCCCAAAGTCTACATCATTAATTCGGTATGTTTTATTATTATAATCAGTTAGAACGATCAAATCCAAAACATTTACACGGAATTCGTCCTGGTGTCGAGCCGGATTTTGCGAACAACGTCGCAAAATATCATAGACTGTTTCAGTTCGCATGACTTTATGCGTTATTTCAGTAGACAAAAGAATGTCTTTTTCGTGTTGCCGGATCGATGTTTCATACCCCGGCCACAGCTCCATTCTGAACTCCCTAATTTCGACCTAAAATTAAAAGTATTCATTATTTATCACCTATTTTAATTAATTAGTAATTTATTTTACCTTAGCACGGGGATCAAAAAGATTTCGTCCCACTAATTCCAGCTTCAAGCCTTTCATGGAGCGGCGCAAAATCAGATTTAAAACTTGCAAAAATCGAGGCTCTGCGGTAGATATGTATCCAACAAACTTGATTGATATTTTGTAATCAATGTCAAGTTTAGACTTTCCGCTGAGCACAGTTAAATCCTGTTCGAATTTCCGGGTGGTGAACAATTGTAGCCCGTCGAAGAGATAACCGGATCCCAGAATGTTTGCATGATTCGACAATATGCCCATACGGACACGAGGGTTCTCAATGGTCGGCTCGAACTGCACATGGTAATGGACGATTCGCCACTCCGGCTTAGTATTTAGACGGAAGAAGTTTGTTTGCAGCATTACTGGTTTTCCGTCCGTCCCCTTTTTGGATACCAATTCAATCGGACGGGTATTCACGATGTCAAAGCGATCGCCCCGCGGCCGACGTTCTGTAGGACACCCTTCTTCTCGCCTGGGAGCTCCATCATGACCTCCTTCCTCACGATCATGAGTACCCCCGCGATCGACACGGGGATCTGCTCTCGAAGATCCTGCACGGGAATCTTGCCTCGAGCCATCCAATGAAGAACCTTTAAATATTTTACTTTGCTGCATAAAATTGAAGATTAATTAACTAGTGATCGCTTCTTAAATATGTTGAAAATATAAAAAATATCGGAGATTTTAAAATTAAAATTTTAAATTATAAATTTAGAGTATCCTGGGATTAATGTTAAAAACTGTAGTTTTTAAGATATCAGGTATAAATCTTGTGCAGATCCTAACAGGCTTGTTAACTCGTTCAAGCACTACATTTCAAAATACACTAACCAAAAAAAATTGTTTTTTAAATTTCTGATGATCATGTGATTATTGCTGCTTTTTATACCTGTTGCTCGTAGAGTGAGAGGGTTTATTGCATTCGTGCAAAAGTATGTAACAGCTAGAAGAAAGCATTTCCGACCCTAGTAAATATACAGTGGTGGTCACGAGTTTAGCATACTTTGCTCGCCCATTTTATTTTCGCCATATCTCCTTTCCCGTTAGAGATTTTGACTTTCTGTTTTCACCCACCTTCGTGCTGGAAATAGAGCAACTTCCACTGTTAATATTGTCCCATTCGCTTTTTCCGTTCTTCTTTGGCGATATTTTGAGTTGTGCAACCTCCAAAATGAGCTGGACACGAGTTTAGCACACTTTAGCACATTCATACCTTTTCACCCTTCTGATACAATTTTTCGACTTTTTACTCCTTATTCTTATAAGTGAGCCTTAGTAAGGTACAAAAATGTAGAAACTAAAAATCTAGATAAATCACAGGTACTCTGGTACATAAAGAACTTAAATTATATAAATACCCAATTTTTAGGCAGGATAAGTGTCCTAATTGGTCCTAGTCAATTATATTTACTTGTTTTACTTTAAATTAATCAATCATAAGATAATGCGGTTGAAATCATAGAGCTGGGACCCGTTACGGAGACTCCACCTTGCATGTCATTTCAGCAGATCCTGATTTTCGGGTCCTTTCAAATGGTCTAAAAATATCCGGACCACATATTTTTTTAGCCAATTAAAAGACAAATGATGTATTAGTAAGATTAAGATCGGTCGACAACTTCCTGCAACAGGCATAAAGATCTTAAAAAAAACATTACAACTTTAACTTAAAGCAAAATTTGCATACAAAATTTCATAGAATCGAGACTACACCATAAATCCAATTCTCCATGGATCGGTAGGATGTAAACTTAAAGTGTGTACCCATTATGATTTTTTAACGGATTTATTTCGAGTTTTTACAATATACATATGGGCAACTCTCTGCTGTCGCACGCGACGTTCGTACGCTTTGCAGGTGAAAAAACCATCTTTCAGGACTTCTTTTCTTTTGGCACTAGGCTTAAATTAAAGGTATTGATTTCAAAATATTTTTCCTTGTATTTTTTATGATTTTTTGAAAATGACAACCTTTCCATTCAAAAAATCATAAAAAATACAAGGAAAAATATTTTGAAATTTTTTTTTTGAAGATATTATTAATTTTGCTTGGAGAACATTTTTGTTTTAAGCCCCAGTAAAAAAGTTTAAAATTTGACTTTCATAAAAAATCACGAGTTTATTTTGATTTTTATTTCTTAGTGAGACCAATTATTTTTTTTTGTTATATTTTGTATACGAATTTGTTAATAAATATTCAAAGAATAAACACAAAAAATTTGGATTCATTTCCTTTACTAATAACTTTTTATGGGTACGCATTAAGTCAATAGTGGCAAGCATGTACTCAGTTTTGCACCCCACTGTATAAAAAAACAAAGATTTTCGCACGCCACACCAATAGAAGTGACTTTTTTGTCTTCCTGCTGAACTTTCGATTGTAACGAAACGTGAAGGATTATTTGAATGCAGGTCCTTTTAAGTGTTCCTTGTTCTTTCTTCATTAAAATTTTTTTAAGAGCCACCTTAAAAAATACCGAAAAAATACCAAAAACAAGAAAGGAAGCTAGCTTCGGCCAGCCGAAGCTTATATACCCTTGCAGATAAAGTAAATACCTATAGTTTAATGCTCACTCGGTGCAGCTCGGACAGTAATTTAAACAAACTAATTTTACTCGAATCGTGTGAATGCAAAACTCAGAAAGGTAATACTCTAGTTTACGGTCCTCACCCCCGAAATTCGCGAAAAATTCGACCAAAATGTGTAATTGTTTTTATAGGGGGCCAAATCCTACAGCCGCGAACTAAATATCCTCGGTGGACAGCGATTTCTTATGAATTTATTTGACCATGGAGCCCCAATATATAACTTTTTAAGGCAAAGCTGAAGAAATCGCGGTCCAACGAGGATCATTTCCTTTCACCTATTTGGTGGTATTGGCCGTCACACAAGCCCAATACGAATATTTCATACATCTCAGCCATAGACGTTATTTATAATTTTAAACGCAACGTAAGCATTAAACAAAAGAAAAACTTAAATAAAAAAAATTGCGCCACAGGCCAGCAAAATGAAAAAAAAAAAAAACAAGAAAGGAGATCATTCCTATTAATTTAAAAATTTATTATTTATTATTTATTTTTTCACATTAATTTTTCGATCGTTTCTATGGCAGCTTTATGATACAGTATTTCGATCTTTTTAAAATTTAAATCGAAATTAGGAAATATTTAAAACTAGTCATATCCCAGAGTAGAAGAGAATGTAATTTGCAAATCCCAGAAAGTCCGAGGTTCACTCCTCATCGAGTGCAGTGTGTTGAAATGCTAGACTGTTGAATTATAAACTCAACTTCTAAAAATGACCTCGAGTCCCCTAAAGTACTCAATAGTAAACATAGGTCGATTAAATCACTAATTAAAAATCAACAAAGATATAATTTTTTCCTATTAATTTACATTTAATATTTCGACCGTTCCTATGGCAGCTATGATATTCCGATTTTTAAAATATTTAATTCGAAATTCAGAAACCTATAGAAAATAACATTCCCAAGAGTAGAAGGTAATATTTGAAAAAACACAGAAGCTAGAATTTTTTTAACGCTTCCTTCCTATAGGAGCTATAAGATATAGTTGTCCGATCCGCTCGGTTCCGACTTATATACTACCTGCAATTAAAAGAAGACTTTTGGGAAAGTTTCATCCAGATAGCTCAAAAACTGAGAGACTAGTTTGCGTAGAAACAGACAGACGGGCAGACGGGCCTTTCGACACTGAATTTTCGATTTTTATACCCTTGCAGAGGGTATTATGATTTCAGTCAGAAGTTTGCAACGCAGTGAAGGAGACGTTTCCGACCCCATAAAGTATATATATTCTTGATCAGCATCACTAGACGAGTCGATCTAGCCATGTCCGTCTGTCCGTCTGTCTGTTTCTACGCAAACTAGTCTCTCAGTTTTTGAGCTATCGGGATGAAACTTTCCCAAAAGTCTTCTTTCTATTGCAGGTAGTATATATGTCGGAACCGACCGGATCGGACAACTATATCTTATAGCTCCCATAGGAAGGATCGGAAAAGAAAACCTTTAAAAAATTCTAGCTTCGGTGTTTTTTGAAATATTACCTTCTACTTTTGGGGATGTTATTTTTAAAATATTTCTGAATTTCGAATTAATTATTTAAAAAATCGGACTACTATATCATATAGCTGCCATAGGAACGATCGGAAAATTAATGGAAAAGTAATAGGAAATAAATTCAAGCTTCTTTGGTTTTTATTGTATTATCTTCTACTCTAGGATATGAATCTTTTTAAATATTTCCGAACTTCAATTTTAATTTAATCAAAATCGGACGACTATATCATATAGCTGCCATAGGAACGATCGGAAAATTAATGAGATTAATGAAATTAATTGAACATTTTTGCGATTTGGTAATTAATAGGAATGATCTGCAAGGGTATTTATGCTTCGGCTGGCCGAAGCTAGCTTCCTTTCTTGTTTTTATTACAGTCGAAATAGTCACTTAAAAGATACAAGCCAAATTCGCAATATTGATACCACTCGTTTACAAAATAATATTCTTGGTGTGCTCCCCAGCAATTGATGGCAAATTCTGTTGGCGTTGGACCCCTAGATCACAAAAATACCACTAACTTTTTATTCGATGGCACAGTTCTTTTTATACCCTTGCAGAGGGTATTATGATTTCAGTCAGAAGTTTGCAACCCCATAAAGTATATATATTCTTGATCAGCATCACAAGACGAGTCGATCTAGCCATGTCCGTCTGTCGGTCTGTCCGTCTATCTGTTTCTACGCAAACTAGTCTCTCAGTTTTTGAGCTATCGGGACAAAACTTTCGCAAAAGTCTTCTTTCTATTGCAGGTAGTATATATGTCGGAGCCGACCGGATCGGACAACTATATCTTATAGCTCCCATAGGAAGGATCGGAAAAAAAAACTTTAAAAAATTCTAGCTTCATTGTTTTTTGAAATATTACCTTCTACTTTTGGGGATGTTATTTTTTAAATATTTCTGAATTTCGAATTAATTATTTAAAAAATCGGACTACTACTATTTTTTGACGCCGTTGCCGTCACCACTCATTTATGTTTACATGTCGCCGCCTATGAAATCTTAAATTTGGACTCTGTCAACCGAAAAAAGTGGAAAAATCCAAACTTTAAAAATCCACCATAAATCCAGTTTTCCATGGAAATAAAAACAAGAAAGGAAGCTACCTTCGGCCAGCCGAAGCTTATATACCCTTGTAGATAAAGTAATGCTCACTCGGTGCAGTTCCAGGGATTCCAGATTCAGCGTTTATATTTTAATTTTGTTTATACATAAGTAGTCAAGAATCAAAACGCCTACTTCCTACAAAGTTACAATGAATTTTCTTGTATTTGTTTGAATATTCCTATGGGAGCCTTAAGATATAGTGGTCCGATCCGGTTCTCTCCGACATATGTACTACCTGCAATAGAAAGAAGACTTTTGGGAAAGTTTCATCGCGATAGCTTTAAAACTGAGGGACTAGTTCGCATAGAAACGGACAGACGGACATGGCTAGATAGACTCGGCTATTGGTGCTGATCAAGAATATATATACTTTATGCGGTCGGAAACGTCTCATTCACTGCGTTGCAAACATCTGACTGAAATTATAATACCCTCTACAAGGGTATAATTAATGGTATTTTCGTGATCTAGGGGTCCAACACTGACAGAATTTGCCATCAATTGCTGGGAGCATTTTGGCTGTAAACTAGTGTAATTAAATATTTTTGCAAGCAAATCAGACGCTGACGATTTAGCCAGTCGATCTCTATCCCTCTCTTTTGCTCGTCTTACGCAAAACGGAAAAATAACAAGAAAGGAAGCTAGCTTCGGCCAGCCGAAACCGAAATTCGGAAATATTTAAAAGAGGCATATCCCAGAGTTGAAGAGAATACAATAAAAACCAACGAAGCAATAATTTTTTTCCTATTATCTTGCATTTAATTTTCCGACCGTTCCTATGGGAGCTATATGATATAGTGTCCCGATTTTTTCAAAATTTTATTCGAAATTCAAAATATTGTAAAAAACACAAAAGCTAGAAATTTTTTACTTTTTTTTTTTTGATCTTTCCTATGGGAGCTATAAGATATAGTTGTCCGATCCGACCGGTTCTGGCTAATCGACTCGTCTAGTGATATATATATGGGGTCGGAAACGTCTCCTTCAGTGCGTTGCAAACTTCCGACTGAAATCATAATACCCTCTGCAAGGGTAAATCGCGCGATTTATGTTATGTTTTTTACTTATGTTTTTTATAGAAAAGCACTCAAAATCAGAGAAGAGGCTACTTTATTTTTATAGGAAAACACGTAACTTTGAAAATCGATTACAAGAGAACCATGGCGCCTATATTTCTTTATGTAAATTCTTAAGAATTCGCGGTCCGTCGAGGATAATTTTTTCGCGAATTTTGGGGGTGAGGACCGTAAACTAGAGTATTACCGTAGATTTCATCGAAAATAATAAACGTTAGTCCAATTATATAGACCACATAATTTAAAGTGTCGGCAAACATCGGTTTTTTGTATTCTTAGCTATACCGCGGAACCTGTAGGTGATGGGACATAAGTTTGTATGGGACTTTTACTCAGGAGCACCAAATTATCATGGAAACCAAGAAATGATTCGTCGAAATTTCACAAAGTTCAGTTTTGTGTTCCTGTGTAATTGGCACTACAATAAAAAAAAAAAAAAATTTATAGCCATAACTTACAAAATATAACAAATTAAAAGTTTTGCACGAAAAAAGATGTGACATTAAAAAAGTCAATGTTTTTAGTCTTTTTTTAATTTTAAGTGTTATTCTTGGAATTTAAAAATAATTAAGTGTATTAATCTACCTAACATAACTGCATTTTAATTTTGGTTAATTATTAGCTGTACGAGTTTGAATTTTAAGTTAACCTCTGCACGAAGTAAGCTGTGAGCCACTGTAAGTAACGCAAAGCGAGTCTTCCAATATTAGAGTGAGCGGGACAATTATATGCACTATTCAAGGTAGTTCATTAGGAAAGAGAAAGCGAGATAAAAGCTTGGCGGTAAATGACAATTGACATCTTCTTCGATGCCATCGATCCGTTTAATATGCATTTCTGACGAATTCCCAACAATGAAATATTCAACTAAACTGCGATTTTATTCCTACCCATGCAAGTCCATATTTATTAGTTCCTAGTCTTATCTTCGATCAAAGACTGCTCGCTTAGGGGTGTCACAGATTTCTTTTCATGGTTATGCTTTTTAAAAAATAAATGGACACTGTGCAGCAAAATTACTTCGAAAAGTATTATTTATTGAAAGCAGTCTGAAATGTACATACATACATACATATGTACGCTTATTCAAGGAATATACATACATAAGTATGTATGGAATTGATTTTCTTTGAAAGAAGCGCTTGGCACAGCAGAAATTTGAGATGAGTTTATGCTTGCACAAGAATTTGTCTGATATCTTGATATTTTCTTACAATGTACTGTACGGACATTTTTTTTAGCACATTCATAGCGGCTTCTTGTTTGTTTATTTAATGTCGATTATCAGTACTTCTCTTTGGGACAAACTTCGAAAAACACGCAGCTTCTTGTTTATACACTAAGCCATTTACATTTTATGGCCGCGTCTCTTTCTTGTACATAATATAAGGTATATATATACATACTTATACAAGCAAGATGCCATAACGGAACTTCTTTAAATGTGCTTATAAGGGGCAACACCATTTGCCGTATAGTAAGTAATTGGTACTCTGAATGTTTTACTAAAAATTATGTAGAACTTACCGGCCCATCCCTATTTCCTCGAGAAGTAGAGGGTTCTTCTTCATCAAGTGGACGCCTGCGCCCACGTCCCTGTTCATCAGCCATTATTTCAACACTTTTGGACTTCAACACTTAAACTCACAAACAGAGTGAAAGAGAACTTCAAAAACGACGCGCTGGTAGAGGAGTGCTGCCAGACAGGAGTAAACTTTTGTGACTTTTATCGATGTTGATTAAAATAGTTTTTGTAAATGTTATCGATGTGTCGACTTATAGGCCTTTTTTATATTTTAGTCCCACTGAGCACATCCCTGTGAAAAAGTTGGATTTGTAAAAAACGCTATAGAGTCTTCCCACAGAGATCCGTTGGACGGATGGTCCGTAAGGTTTTGCCGTTTCGAAAATGTCCCAGTTAGTCCGCCATCCAGTTTTTACGGACTTTGACGGGCTTAGTTAGGCGACTCTTAATTCTTTCTCTTGACTGTGAAAAATGGAACGATGACTGTGAGAACAAATCAAATCGATCGCTGGAAAAAAAACTAAATAAACTAATGAATTATTTGTAGTTTGTTACGAGTGGAAAAGCGTTTGCAAACAGGTTGCTATGAGTGGGCCAAAATGTAAGCTGTTCTGCGTACGAAAACATCAATGTTTGCAGCAAAGTCTCCGAAAATGTCTGGACCTTCGTAAATAATAACTTATATTAATAAAAAGTGTACTATAAAGGGGAGAGGGGCAATTTCGTTACCTGCAATTTTTCTGAATTCATAAGTCGAATAAATATATAATATTTTTGTTTTAGTCCTTCAAGACGGCATGACAAAACCAATGCATTTTTTTGCACAATAGGCCAAGATAATAAAGCTATAAATTAAATGTGTTTAAATAAGTTAAAAGCTACATTTAGTTCTCGAACCAATTTGTTCTGTATGCCACAATTGAAAAGGGACAAGATACAGGTTTTTATACCCTTGCAGAGGGTTAATAATTTCAGTCAAAAGTTTGCAACGCAGCACACTGGGCCAGAAAGTTAATTTTTTGGCCAAAAATCTATAATTTCTTTCCTAGGACAGTTAGAAGGATGCAGTTTTTTGCGTTTTTTTCTTAAAAGATTGAACTTTTCAACGAACTACAAGTAAAATTTCTTGGAATTTTATATGATATAGATAATCCAGACCAAAGTCGGAAAATTTTACGTACTTTTCGGTTTTTTATTTTTAAAAAAATAACTAGAAGACGCACTTCTTTCATTTTCGAAAACAATAAAGTATGAGATAAAACAAACTAAAAAAAATTAACATCACTAAAAAATATTATGTCATTTAAGATTTATGAACCGTTAAAAAGTGCAACTTTCGGAGGCTCCCACATCAACGTTTATCAAACAATCGATTTAAAAAAATTTCTATTTTTTTGTTCTTGTTACCTTTTAAGTTTTATATAATCAAATTATGTAAAAAAAATTGTTTAAAAATATTGTTTTTTGATTTGTTTAATGTTAATTTGACATATTCTGAAGTCATCACAAAAGTATGCTACATTTTTATTTGCATAGTCCTGATTAAATAGATAGATATAGGTTTGGAAAATACCATGATCGATTAGTGTACTTAAAAAGTAGATTTAAGATGTTAGTCACACTAAAATCACGCCAAATGTCCACTAAAACCTGAAGAAAAAAGTACGGCATACTTTTGGGCTCTCTAGCAAAGCTCTTCAAAATAGCTCGACTTTGAGTTAAGCCTTCAATTAAAACTAAAATTACCGGCAACTAAGGCAAAACCGCATCGAGTCGGTGGGCTACGCTTTTAGTAAATTGATCAACGAATTTTTTTTTGAAGGAATGAACTAATTTGGGGATGGCACTCGAAGGCACTCGAAAAGCAAAGTACTCATTTGCAAAAAAAAGCGTAAAAATTAACAATTACATTTATTTTAGCAAGCAAGTAAGACATACGAGCTATATTATATTTTTTACTTGTTGAAAATAATCCCTTCTGCAAGTTTCGGAAAGAAGTCGAACAGCAACATCAGCATCTTTGACTTCTAAATTTTTTTTCATTTCCATCAATATTTTATGAATTTTTCACTTTGAAAATATGGTAAAAGAAAACTACTTGCCCGAATTCTTTGAAACTTTGGCATAAATTAGTTTAATGTATTATAAAAAGGATCGCAAACTCAATTTGGTCATTTTCTTAAAAAAGAAAAACGTATTTTTGGCCAAAAATCTGATCGGCTGGCCCAGTGTGCGCAGTAAAGGAGACGTTTCCGACCACATAAAGTAGATGGGCAATTCTCTGCTGTCTGACGTTCGTACGCTTTGCGGGTGAAAAAAACCATCTTCCAGTACTTTTTTTCTTTTGGCACTAGGCTCAAATTAAAGGCACTAAAATAGGTGCTAGGGCTGACTTTGGGACATTTTCGTTTTTAAGATATATAAAGAAACCAAGACTTTCGCACGCAACACCAATAGAAGTGGCTTTTAAGACTTCCTGCTTAACATGCGATTGTAACGAAACGTGAAGGAATATTTTAATGCAGTTAATTTTATAGTGTTCCTTGTTCGTTCCTTGTTCCTTTCTAAAATGTAATTGGATTGGTTAATTTTTTATTGGCATCGAAGTGACTGTCACGCTACATGTCGCACGCGACAGTAGTATACATGTAGTATATAAGTCGGAACCGACCGAATCGGACAACTATATCTTATAGCTCCCATAGGAAGGAAACGTTAAAAAATTCTAGCTTCGGTGTCTTTTGAAATAAAACCTTCTACTCTTGGAAATATTGTTTTTTAAATATTTCCGAATTTCGAATAAAATATTTAAAAAATCGGACGACTACATTATATAGCTGCCATGGGAACGATCGGAAAATTAATGGGAAAGTAAAAGGACATAAATTTTAGCTTTTTTGGTTTTTATTGTATTCTCTTCTACTTTAGGACATGATTTTTTTATATATTTCCGAATTTTGAATTAAATTTAACAAAAATCGGACGACTTATTCTATAGCTGCAATAGGGAAGAATAGAAAACATAATATTAAAATAATACGAAATTTAAAATTTTTGCGATTTGTAAGTTAATAGAAACGATCTGCAAGGGTATATAAGCTTCGGCTGGCCGAAGCTAACTTTCTTTCTTGTTTTTCTGTTACCTTAACGTCAAATAAACCGTTTAAGAGCCACTTTAAAAAATACTATTTTTTGTCAAAAAAACTGGTATTGTCCTGGAAAATTATCCAAGGATACTCAAATTACTTAGCTCAGTTGAGGATCCATCTAACTAGAATCAAAAATCAATGCAAAATCATATATAAATATGTTTTTTTTTAAGTTTCACGCTTTTTGGCTTGGTTGATCAGCATCGATAGCTGAGCCCATAACTGGCCGTTTCTATGCGAACTAGTTTATCAGTTTTAAAGCCATCGCGATGAAACTTTCACAAAAGTCTTATTTCTATTGCAGGTAGTGCATATGTCGGAATAATACATTTTAAATACATGTTTTTTGACCAGTTGGCTACCGAAAAGAATACCGGCAGCAACAACAAATATAGGACGTCAACAAAAATGATACGCTGATCAGTGTAGCATTTTTACAGGCGTTAAATTCCCAACATTTTACGGGTGTCGAAATTGCCCCAGTGTTGTGGCGATTTTACCCCCCTATGTGGCGGAATTGCCCCAATATATTGGTTTTACTTGTTAATATTTTACAAACCACCAAGGTAATTACAAAAAAGTAGAATGTCACATTTTAAAGCTTGGTGCTTTGTTTACAAATTTGTCTTATTAATATTGGCTAGACAGAGGCGTAGTTTGAGTTGAAATTCCCCTTCGTTAATGTTGAGCAACTGCCCTTTAGGTCAGAGGTGGATCTGGATGATGCTTTGTGGGAACACACAGTTTCATATTTGTCAGAAATCCCAAAAGTTTCACACGCAGAGCACTTCTACCCACGGTTGAAATTTATTAAAAATTTATTATGAGCCAAAATAAAATTAAAAATGAGCCAATTTGAATAAAAGCCAAATTTCTTACCATATACCAAATTACCATACCAGCGGAACAATTTAGTTTCGATCTGGCACTTTTGGGATTCAGACATTAATCACTTTAAAAATTGCAAACAATAAATGCCTTAATACAAAAATGAATTCGTTTTTTTCAAGCTTAAAATATTTTTATTGCTATTAGCAAAAAAGAGCCAAATTCAATAAAAAATGGCCAAAAACCGTTTCACACGGATGGACTGTGGTAGTATACGAAAATAATTGAAAACGTATAAGGGTTTCCAGGAAAAGTCTAATGTGGTTTAAAAAAATTCATGAGTATCTATATTTTGTAAATCAATTACATTTCTTTCCACTTTAAATTTTAACACGAAGATATGTAGCTTTAAAGCACGAGCAACACATACTGTACATCTCAGCAACATTTTGTTGCGTTTTCCTAATATTGCTATGCCTTCGTCAAAAACGTCAAAGGCCTTATCATTCCTTGTCATATACTTTATTTTAAATATTTGTATTATTCACAACACATTTTGCTATTAAAGAGAGAGCACTTATCCGGTCCCCTAAGATGTGCTGTGTCAATGTGCTCAAAAAAATATACACGTAACATAGCTTCTCTACATCTTGCCAAAGAAGTGGAGGAATTTTCATTACCACTACAAGATAAATGGAAAAGTGTTGCACAGATTCCAAAATACACCATGCACTCAGTAACAGACAATTCGAATTGTTGTGGGTCCTGCCACCCTTTACCCCATTAACCCATTTTAATAAAATACTCTATACGTGCACATAATTATAACTTATAATTTATAAGACTAACACATTTTTTTTAAGATAGGGATATATTCTTTAAAAGTTGTGTTTTTATTAGATTTCTCCGTTACCTGCAGAATTTTTATTTAATTCTAAGCACTTGGTCATATGACTTTCATGGAACGATCAATATTAAAAAGAGGTGATTGAGGCTAAAATAATTGAACCAGAATTTACAGTAGGAACTTTAATAGCACATAAAAAAGCTCTGCAACATTTTGACAAAATACAAAGTTGCAATTTTATGTTAAGTCGCGACCGTAATTGTAGCGTCCGTATTCTTGCACTATTTTAAGAAGAAAAACAAGAGAGAACGCTATAGTCGGGTTGGTGTCCCGACTATCCAATACCCGTCACTCTGCTAAAAAAAAAGTGCGAGGGAGATGGATATATAACATTTTTTTGATTGCGCATAACTCTTTAATGAATGTTCCGATTTGAAAAATGTCTTCTACATTTCAATAGGTATATATATGGGCAATTCTCTGGGGATGTCAACCAAGCCAAAAAGCGTAAAACTTGAAAAAAACATATTTCTACATGATTTTGCACTGATATTTGATTCTAGTTAGATGGATCCTCAACGAAGCTAAGTAATGTGAGTATCCTTGGATAATTTTACAGGGTAATACCGGTTATATGGACAAAAAAGTCATTTTTTGGTATTTTTTTAGTATTTTTTAAAGTGGCTCTTAAACGGTTTTTTTGACGTTAAGGTTGCAGAAAAACCACCTAAGAAAATGACGGAAAAAACTGTCGCGTGCGACATGTAGCGTGTGACAGTCACTTCGATACTAATAAAAAATTAACCACTCAATATTTTGAATTCAAACCAAATACATTTTAAAGAAGAAAGACCAAGGAACACTATGAAATTAACTGCATTAAAATATTCCTTCACGTTTCGTTACAATCGAAAGTTAGGCAGGAAGTCAAAAAAGTAACTTCTATTCGTGTCGCGTGCAAAAGTCTTGGTTTTTTTTATATATCTTAAAAATGAAAAATGTCCCAATGTCACCCCTAGCACATATTTTAGTGCTAATCAAGACCTTTAATTTGAGCCTAGTGCCAAAGGAAAAGAAGTACTGAAAGATAGTATTTTTCACCTGCAAAGCGTACGAACGTCGCGTGCGACAGCAGAGAATTGCCCATATACACAACAAAATTGCATTTATTTCATTTTAAAATCATTAGTGGGCGATTGTGAACGTTAGAGGGGGCTGAAATAAACTTGCGCTGCGTAGAAAGCCAAAGAATATGTGTGGGAAATCTCAACCTTCTAGCTTTTCTAGTTTTCAGCGTTCAAACAGACAGACAGAGAGACAGGTTTAGAAACGCTTCCTTCTCCCTGTTACATACTTTTGCACGAATACAACATACCCTTTTACTCTACGAGTAACGGGTATAAAAAGCTACATGTTTTGCCGCCGAACTTTCTTTGGTGTGTTCTGTTACTCAGCAGGTATACTGTAAGAAAAGCCAAATAATAAAAAATATAAGTTTTCCCATTTAAATTAATATGATTGGATAAGTAATGGAAGCGCAGCAGCTCGACAAAATTGAAAAATGTGTTATTCTTTTTTTGTTCGCCAGAATCAAAGTTTAAGTTTTATCCCATGCGGCGACATGTAATCAAAAATGAGTGGTGACGGCAGCCGGGTCAAAAAATAGCTACATTTTAAAGCTAGAAAATTATAAAAATTAATCCAATTTCTGGTGTGCATGGTGCATGGCTCTCTGTGTAATGACACTTATGATTGGGGATGGTGAATGTGCTCTGTGGAAACGGCGTTTCATATATGTCGAAAACCCCAACGTCTTCCAACAGATGGACTCTCTGGGAAGAGGGTATAAGGCCTTAAATACCAAAAAAAATACTGCTGTCAGTCTGCATAGGTATTTTCAACTAGTTGCCAAACAACCACTTTGAGTAAAGTACAAACAAAAAATCGAGTGAAAATGCAAGATATACAACGATTTGAGCGGTCCCTGAAAGACTTTGAATACTTTAGAGACTTTCAAAGTTTTCTCGATCCCAAAAGTAATTCTCGTAAAGTAGCGGAAGTAAAGAAGACGCACCCACGCTTTAACCCTCTGACTGATCTAAATGAGCACAAGTTTCGCTTGAAGTACCGGTATACTAAAGAGAATCTCCGTCGAATTATTGAAATTGTTCGCGACGACCTCGAAATTGAATATTTTGAGCCATTGAAAAGGGAGCAAGTTCCAATTGATCTGCAAATCCTATCCGCAATTCGTTTGTGGGGTGGAACCGAGGTAAAGCAAAAATGTCTATATGCTTAAGTTTTGTAAATTTGTGTATACATCAGAACCGCGAAAGACCTCTGCATTTAAAATTTCACACTAAAGTCTTTCCCAATGAACCGACATTGAGTTGATAAAATGATTAATTTTACTGTTTTTAGCACCCAAAATTAACTGCAATGGCCCACGGCGTTAGTTTGCGTACGTTGGCGAAAATCACAAGGCGCGTTGCTTCTGTTTTATCATCGAAAGCCTCGAGGTATATCAGAATGCCGGCAACACTATCCGAAAAGGAGCGAATGATGTGCTCATTTCAAGCCATTGCGAATATGCCGCAAGTTATCGGGGCCTTACTGCAGACAACAGTGAGATTTCAACCGGAAAACTCTGCAACGGAAGATCTTGATGGGGAGGTCCGGTCTCCTGCTTTCACAAAGGAGGAGGAGCTGCACCTACAAATTGTTTGCGATGCAGCCCATAAGATAAGGGACCTCGATATTCGTCTGATCGAGGAAAATGCTATGCTAACCGACACCGAGATGTTCGGTCTGTCTAAAATAAGGGAGCGGTTCGAACAAAACGAGTTTCGCGGTCGAATTCTGCTGGGAAACGAAATGGTCCGTTGTTCCTCCTCTCTGTTCACACCAGTTCGGTTTCCAAGGAACCAATCCGAAGAGCTCTACAACCACGCTCACTCGGTCACTTATGCCTCAGCCAGAAAATGTCTCAACCTGTTAATGAGTCGCTTCGGTATCCTTGGAACTGAAATACAGGGCTCTCACGGATCCGCCAAGCAAACCATAACGGCCCTATCCATTCTGCACAACATGGCTATGGAATGGGCAGATCCCAGTATTGGTAAGTTATTACAGTCTATGATAGGACCTCAGTGGATTGCTCTTTAATACTTAAATCTATTTTTACAGATACGGAACAGAACATTTCGCCATTCAATTCAACTTTCTTCAATTCTATAGGAAGGGCACCAAAATCCGGAGAAGACAACAATAGAAGACAATTTATTAAAACTCATTTTGCATCCCAATAAATAACATTCTTAAGAGAAAACAACAAAAATAATTTTTAATAAAAAGTGCATATTTATTAGTGACTAAAAACGATTTCTTAAAATAAAAAAAATAATATAGATTATGTATGTCCAAAAAACATGTTACATTTACATTAAGTGTTAATAATATTAATGTTAATGTTTTAACATGCTCTCTAATGTACATTAGAATCGTCTCTATGAATATACAAAAAACTTGAAATATGAAAACTATTGAAGCTAGCCATTAAGTTAAGGTTAATTGCCCGTTGACTTAGCTTCAAAAGGAAAGTTCCCTTTTGCGCTTATGAACACCGAGGATATCTTTGTAAAAAGATTTTTCCATAACATGAAATTAACTATTATGGTCCATTTATTATTGCTATAGTTTTTTCAGGGAACTCCCCCAAAATGCCTAGAGAATAGCTATCGGAAACAGCTGCTGCGTGCGCAATCGATACATATCGCGTGGCGTTACTTTGAAGTGCCCACGCTGCCATCTCCAAACTGTGCACATGGATATTTTATTTCTTCAAAATACAGTAGTTTAGTTTTTTTTTGTCGTAGGCTGTGAAAAGTTTAAGTGAACGATTAAGAATTTCAATACAAACGTTAAACTGGAAGTTACCTTATAAGCCAAATAAATATAGACAAAATTGTGCATTTGCTTTTAGTTATATTGTAGGTATGCTGTCTTTTCGCATTCGTCTAAAATCCATCGTATCTAAATTGAGGATCTGCGTTTTTCTTTCAGTTTTGCTTCCATTTATATTTACTTGGCGCAATTTTCTTGCTGGCAATGTAATCACACCGAGCTGACGACAAGTGCTAGTGACCTAGATTTTGGGAGTCCTGCGCTTGAGAGTAACGCCACACCACCGCCACCGCAATCCTGCTCCGTTCGCCTGTGCCTGTGAATCCTTTCTGCAGCAACAAAGTAAAGGTCACAAATCGCGAGGCAAGTAAGTTTTTGTACATTTGACCTGGTTTACGGAGGAGTGGTTTTCGGAGCGCACGGGGCCGCAGGGGGTTAATATATAATGTATATTCACCGTCAGAGTGCCATCATGCATTCTGCCTTCTCTCTATCCACCAGATATGATTAATCCGCATCCGTAATCTTACGTCCAACTCCGATCAGAAATCATTCACAGCATATAAACTTTTTTTAAGGCCTTTTTCGGGTTAGCGGAGAGATCAGAGATCAAATCGAGCTTAGTAACCCCCACTAAATGTGACTGGGTGACCAGGACCTGACATGCGTAACAACAGCGGCTATAATATCCCGGCCAGCAACAGTCTGAATCTGAACAACAACGGAGCCCCAGCCCCACGATACTGCAATGCGGACAATACGTTTTGCTACTATAACTACGATAACTGCAACCTGATCGCTCCCGCGTGGAGCAGTCGTCAGAATCAGGGGCAGAGTCAAAACCAAGTACCCAACCAGAACCACAATCTGCCGTCAAAGAGAATTCCCACCAAGCATGCAGCCAGATCGAGCTACCATCCATCGGCGGCCAATTCGGCGCCGGACTCCTCAATCTATACCGATGCATTTGGCCAGCATTCCCTGCTCAACCAGCGGGTAGCTGGCAACAAGAGCTGCGAGTACGTTTACCAGACTGTTCGCCGATCGGAGGATCAGCATTCCAATAGGCAGTACAAGCTGACACGGACCTATGTCGCTGACAAGGAGCAACAGCAGATGCTGCTGCAGCCATCCATCGTTTACTTCGATCCGGAGCTAAAGAAACGGAAAGCCCGAGGCGGTCGTGTGTCCTGCGATTATCTGGACAATAGTCCGGACCGCTATCGGGCCCTCAATTCCCCTTCACCAGAGCCAACCTGGGATAATATACTGTAATTTTGCCAATGCATTTTTGTTACTTGTCCTGCTTGTTGAAACTACATACCTCCAGTACACGCACACACACACGTATTTTGTTGTTGTTGTGTTCGAGTCTTACAGTTACCATTTGGAAAACTACCGATAGATACGATACCACACAAACTCTAGTTTCGAGTACATAACTTTCTATACCCACAAACACCCATTAAACATACATAGATGTGTAAACAATAAACATATTCCGTTGTCCGTCATTTTGGCATTAACCGCCTTCTGTTCTCGTTTTTCAGCTCGGAGCGGCCGGCGCAGTATCAGACGACAAATCAGCACTACCAGCACTATTTTTCGTACTTTTACAATCGTGGAGCGGAGAAACAGTCCAAGCCAACGTTTGCCGTTGCCAATAGCCGCAAACTGCCAATGAGTAAATTCCAAAAGCCCAGCGCCAGTCGCAGAGATTCGCGAGATGTCGATGACACCCTCATCATTGGTCGGAGAGACAATTCTGAGGACAGGAGCTGGCAGAGTCCAAAGTATGAGAAGCACGTGCTGAAGGAGAAGCTGCCGAGCAATGACTTGGATGACGATTACCTGGACAATGGATGGGGAGAGCCTGGAAGTGGCGAGGATTACAGGGATGTAAATGATGTCTATGAGCCCGCTGTTGTTATTGACAACGGGCTAGAGCAGGTCCATAGACGCTATTGCAGAGTGTCCGAGAATACGGTTCTAAATGATTCCGGCGATGCTCTGATCAATAACAACAATAATGAATTGAAGGTGTTGCGCAAGTCGACGGATCAGTCGACCGTCCCCCGCTTGCCGATGACGCCAAAGAGGGTCAAAGGTGGAGCCGTTTCCGCCAAGAAGCCAATGCCCACGGTTCACCGGGTGCTGCTGTATAGCACCCAAAGTCCTCGGATGGGGCGCAAGCAACAGTTTGCCACGCAGCGACTCAGTATAAAACAGCAGAGCGCCAAAACACTGGGTGGAGGAGACGAGGGGCAAACGGTCATATTGCTGGAGCCGGAGGAAAAGCTGGAAGACCATCGCAGTGTCATAGACTTCGAGCGTAACGACGACTTCGACGAAGATGATGACCTCGACAATCGTAAGAATGGTTTTCCTTTTATTTATAAAATTTATCATTTATTTGCCTGTTTATTGAACGTTGTTTTTTCCATACATAATAGTTTCAAATTTCGACGAAAGCGACACGGCGAGTGTTTTGTCAGACACGGAAGACGGTTATCGTGCCCACGCCTACAAGCTCACGCATTCTGCGGATCGATTTTCATCGCCCCAAAGCACTCCCAGCTTTTTGTCTTCTCAGTCGTCTGAAGACGACCTTAAAAACCCAGACTCCCTCCTGGTTCCCAGTTTGTTTCCCTACGTGCCCCCCTATTTGTCCTTTTCGTCGAACACAAAAAAAGGTCCTCGGGTGCCGCCGGATCTTCATAGGGTCCTCAAGTGGCGCATCACAAACATAATGCCAAAGGTCGTTCGGCTAATTTTGGCCAACAGCGGAATGCGAATGTTGAAGAGTAAGTGCTAATCAACATAATCAGACTACAACTAATTTACATTTTTCATTAGAAACCAACGATTGGATGGGTGTGTGGGGCAAGCACCTAAAGTCGCCGTGTTTCAAAGCGATTCGGTCCTATCAAAAAATAAATCACTTGCCCGGTTCGTTTCGTATTGGTCGAAAGGATTCGTGTTGGAAAAATCTACAAAGGCAGATGGGCAAGCACAGCAACAAGGAATTCGGATTCATGCCCCGCACCTATATTATTCCGAATGATCTAGGCGCATTGCGCCGACACTGGCCGAAGTATGCTCAGCGAAATACGAAATGGATAATAAAGCCACCAGCAAGCGCTCGAGGGGCTGGCATCAGAGTTATTAACCGATGGGGCCAGATACCCAAGAGAAGACCACTAATTGTGCAGAAGTAAGTAACACATAAAGATTGTTAAAGGTGAATTATTACTTTGAGTATCTCCCTTAAATTTAAAAACATAATCACACACAACTAAGATCAGTTCCATAAACGACACCTAGATTAATTAAATGTACTATTACTTAAATCGACCTTTTGTTTTATAGGTATATTGAACGGCCACTTCTTATAAATGGAAGTAAATTTGACTTGCGTCTTTATGTCCTGGTTACATCCGTAAATCCCTTAAGAGTTTTCATGTACCACAATGGACTGGCTCGATTTGCTTCTGGTAAATATTTGTTGATGACCATTTATGCAATATTTAATGAACTTTCTTATGTGCAGTGAAGTACAGTGCCAAGACAGACACTTTAAACGACCGGTGTATGCACTTGACCAACTACAGCATCAATAAGTTTTCTTCAAATTATTCGAAAAACGAAGATGTCAATGCCTGCCACGGTCATAAGTGGACCATCAAGTCTCTGTGGACGTATTTGGCTAACCGAGGAGTTCGTACCGATTGTCTGTGGGAAGCTCTCAGGAGTTTAGTCCTTAGAACGATTCTCGCTGGCGAGAATGGCATTAACAGCATGATAAGAGCAAATGTAGAGTCCAAATACAGCTGTTTCGAGCTATTTGGCTTTGATGTGATTTTGGATTCCGACCTTGTTCCTTGGCTTTTGGAAGTGAATATATCTCCCAGCTTACACTCGGAACTGCCACTAGATGCCCATGTCAAGGCGCCTTTAGTGCAGGGCGTTCTTAATACGGCACTCTACAACGTGAGTAGTGATGTGAATTTCTTTACGACGATTTTACATGCCGTAAGCATATTTTCAGGTACCTCCAAAACTATCTTTGGATAAGCAAAAAGAACTGGCTGCAGAATTTTCATTTCCTCCTGGCACACAAATGTGCTATGACAAACGGCTTTATATAAACTATTTATCTCGCGAAGAAAAGGTCAAACATAACACCTTCACCAGAAAATCGATGGAAGATCGGAATGAGGTATGGCGGAAGTTAAAAGTTTATACTTTATCACATTTTACGAAACTTAAATATTATCCCAATAGTATGTTAATGCGATCCTGAATAATCTAACTCCCGATGATGTGAGGTGCCTTATCATAGCGGAGGATGAATTGGCGCGATGTGCACCTCTAGAGCGCATTTTTCCAACTGATCAAACCCATAAGTACCTTAAATACAATGACAGTCCGCGCTATTACAATCG